GAATTATTTCACTTGGAAGAAGAATCTGCTGGATATAACTCGGGACCGTTGAAATCTTCGAAAATTTCAGAATATTTTGAACCATCATCTCTTAAGGAACCCCAGGTAGAACATCACTCTCAATATTCCTTAAAATCAATATATGAAATGTTGCAGTCCAATTTTTCTCAGCTAAACCATGATATCCATGACATAAAAAACGAATTGCAATGTATGAAAGAGGAAAATAAGAGATATCAAGAGGAGTTGCAGATGCTATCCCAGGAAATGAAAAAACTAGATGTGCTAGTGAAACATAATAGTCAGCTAAAAGGTACGTTGGAATTTGAACTGGATAAATTGGTTAATGAAAAAACAAAAAATAACATTGTCATTATAAATTTTCCTTTTTTGAATACTGATTATATAAATGAAATAGAATTCTTTATTAAAAATGTTTTAGAAATAGAAAACTGTTCAGTTGAAACATTAATTAAATTAAGAGATAAAGATACTAACCCAATGATTAAAATATCAGTAGATGGTGAACATAACAGAAATCTTATTTTAAGTAAATTTTGGAAATCGAGAGTTAAGTTTAACAATGAGAGATATAAAAATGTAATATTCACCACCGATATATGTAGAAGATCCAGACTGAGAAGGAAGAAATTAATGCCTATAATCAAACAAGAAAAAATAAAAGGAAACAAAATTATTGTTAGAGATGATTATTACATCCAAGGGAAAAATATTTTCACTTATGATATTAATAGTAATTCAGTTATTCAGTTGGATGATTTTTTAGAATAGAGTCGTTTGATCTCTCTAGATCCAAGGCGACTAACTTAGAAATGGTTCTAACCTACAATAGTACTAATATGGAGAATGTAAATAATGAAGTTAATAAAAGTACTGATACTCAGGTTGAGACTGACATTGCTAACAATTATTGCTCCAATATTAAAGCATATACTGAGGATATTGTTAAAATTCAATTTGGTTTTTGGAATATACAGGGAATTCGCGAGAAAATTAACAATCCTGAGGTTAAAAAATATACAAAACAATTATCTGTCATCGGGTTTACAGAGACATGGATAGAGGATTTATGTGAAGAAGATAAGAAAGAGTTTGATAAAGAATATACAATAGTGGTCGGCAAGGCTCTGAGGTCCAGCAGATTTGGACGCCCTTCTGGTGGTCTTCTGTTGATGGTGAGAAAATCATTTGGTGTGATTCATTCATATTATACTACTAATTCCTTTATTCTTCTGATAATAGATGTTAATCGGTCACTACAAATAGCTTGGGGAGAAACACGAATTGGACTAATTTTGGTTTATATTTCTCCTTCTATAAGAAAAATAACATGCTTTAAAGAATTACAAAATTTTATCAACCCATGGATCAATGTTATAAATTTTTGGATTGTTGGTGGTGATTTTAATATTCGTATAGGAAATTCTATGGATTTAAAGTATAAAGGTAATAGTGACCTTATATATAATAAAAGACTATCGAAAGATAAGTTTCTTTCTAAAGATTCTTCTACATTATTAAACTTTTCCCAGGAAAATGATTTAGTTATACTGAATGGTAGAATTATAGGAGACTGTCCGGCTGAATTCACTTTTATTTCACATAATGGAAAATCTACTATTGACTATATTATATGCTCTCAAGCTATGGTGGATCAATGCCTGTTTATGGAAATTCTTGAATTAGATTTATCAGACCATTTTCCTGTGAACTTAGTGTTAAAAGGGAATAAGCAAACTATTGGCTTAAACCAAGGATCTCATAGTTCTTCTGATATTGTGAAACAACTAAGACCCAAGTTTAATTTACATAAATTTCAGAAAGAATTATTATTTATTTCCGAAGAATTAATACTATATGAAATGACTAACGATCCATATAGAAACTATAACAAGCTAATGGATTTACTACAATCTTTCTTTTTTAAAAGTAATAGAAATAACATAATTAATAGATTTAAACAATCTTGGTATGATAAAAAATGCTACTACTACAAAATTAAGAAACAAAGAAGCTTACAGAAATTTCGAAGGTCTAATTCGTATTACGATTTAAAACAATATTTGCTTAACAAAAGAATTTATAGAAACATAGTTAAGGCCAAAAAGATTAAATACTGTTCTTCAGTCAGTGAACTACTAATTGGTCAAAAGGATTCTAAATTGTTTTGGAAGACTATAAATAGATTTCGTATAGATACCAAGAGTATTAATAACTCATTTATCTCTTATGATGTTTGGCATAAGTATTTTAGTGATTTTTCACATTGCTATTCAATTTATAATGGAGTGCATACGATCTTTCAAGAAGAAAAAAACAGTCAATCAAATGGAGATATGTTTAATGCGGAAATTTTGTACTCTCATATTAATAAACTGAAAGAAAATACAGCCCCAGGTTACGATAATATAACAAATTCAATAATAAAGAATTTTTCTAAGTCAATGATTGAGTATTTAGCCAGAATATTTAATGATTTATATAATCAATCTATAATACCTAATAACTGGAATAAAGTAATTTTATATATGATTTTTAAAAAAGGAGATGAAAGTCAACCAGCCAACTATAGACCGATTGCTTTATTATCTGGCTTACGGAAACTATATGCATCTATATTATCGTCAAAATTTAATGAATGGATAGATATAAATGGATATAAAAATAGTACTCAATATGCCTTTAACAAAGATGGTGGTACTCTTATAACATTGTTTGTACTTACGGCAATAATACAACTACAACTACTAAAAAAGCGACATAAAGTATTCGCCCTTTTTTTGGACTTAGAAAAAGCATATGATTCTGTTTCAATATCTAAGTTACAAAATAAAATGTTTAAATGTCAAGCAGAGGTTAAACTGATTAATGCAGTTGGTTTGTTGTTTGGTCAGTATGATATAAACATAAAACAAAATAATACCATATTGTCAAGTATAAAAATAAACCGAGGATTGCTACAAGGGGACCCATGGTCTCCCTATCTGTTTAATTTTTATCTACATGATCTAAATGAGTGTTTTACAAACGACAATGATGGTTTTTGGTTTTCAGATCAGATAGTTCATTCCATATCATACGCTGATGATATTGTTGTATTAGCGCCGACTGCAGCTGCACTTCGACGAAAAATCAAAGCTTTGGAAAAATACTGTGAAGACTCTAATTTAAAAATTAACCCAAAAAAATCTTATGTAATGATCTTTCGAAATGGTACCAATTTATCAAAAAAATATATGTCTTTTTTTCTTAATCAGGAAAGGCTTTTAATTGTCTCAGAGATGAAATTTCTGGGTATAATGTTCACATCTACTTTGTCGTTCGAAAAACAATTCAAGAAAGTAAAAACTAAAGCTTCTACCTTGATCAACAATTTAGTTAAACTATTTGTTAAATTAAAAATTCGTAATATAAAAGTTCAATTCAGATTATTCTCTTCCATTGTTTTAAATTCATGTGGATACGCTGCACCTATTTGGAGTCCTTTGTACTTTAAAAAATTGGAAATTATTCAAAATAAATTTATACGAAAAGTCTTTTCGTTAGACTTTAATATCTCTGGAGCGGTGTTGCGTCTTGAATTGTATAGATTCAAATTGGGCCCTTTTTTCATGAGAAGATATGTTAAATTTTTGAGTCGATTGAGAGACAATGGATCGTTACCTTTTCTACTGTTGGAATTATTATATAATAAATCGCTTAATGATAAGTCTAAACCAAATTGGGTTTATCAAGTGTCTACTGTATTTAATATGTATGGGTTCTCAATAACTCCGTTTATATATAACACAGATTTAAATGAAATATATAATGTTCAACTGATTAAGAATGCTTTTGAAATCTCTCTATCTCAAGATATACATGACGTTAAAAGTCATAATAACTCTATTTGTTATAATATTATTCTGAATTATCCAGACATCAATAATTATACTGGTTCTGATTTATCCTTCAATGTCAAAAAGTTCTTTATTCAATTAAGATTAAATAGAGAAATTATTCTGATTAATAAAACTATCTATCAATTCTCTAAACTTTTTTGTATAAGTTGTAATGTTGCCATGTCTAAACTCCATTTGTTTTGTACTTGTTCTTGTAATAGAACTCAAGAGTTACGGAAAAGATATAATATTGAGACTTTATTTTTAAAACATAGCGAGGATTTTATGTATTTGTTCTTTCATAAAGCTAAAAAGACTACTATATATAATCTATATAATTATGCTCAGAGATTTTTTATTGTTAATCAATTTAATATATTAATTCTGTAATTCTTTTAATACTTTAATTATGAGAATGTATAGACTGTTATTGTATTACTTATGAACTTATGTAATGTTATGTATCACATTATCCCACCTTTTGTAACAGGCGAAAGCCTATTATAAATAAAGTTATGAATGAATGAATTAATATAAATATTTTCTTTCTCAACATAAATTTATATAATGATACTCATCATCATATATATTTCTTAATTAGAATAAATATAGTCAAATTACACACTTAAATATTAAAATCTGCTAATACTTGTTTTTATTAACAGAAAAAATTTACACTAATAAAAACAGAATAGGAAATAATAATGCTAAACTATTAGACTATAACCTGAAAATAGTGCCATTGCTCTGTCACTTCTGTCTGTAATTGTAAACATTATGAAAAGTTTGATAGAAGAAATAAAATAAAGGCTATATAACAAAAAAAAAAATTTTTAACTGCAGATACAATCATCAATTATGTACAAAAAGTAATTTGATGGAGAATATTATGAATTCTATTGTTGTTCAGCAAAGGACAGCAGATCATCATCAAAAAATAATAGGGTTTCTTGAAAAAATCTTATTTTAATATTTATAAGTTTGGAAAGAGAAATTTGAAAACATTACATTCACAAAGAATAAAACACATTTCTATAATAAATGGTATAGTTTTTTTTTAATAAACAAACAAATTATTTTAAATTAAAATTCTATTGTTTAAAGAGTACCATCGATTTCTTGAATAGGACCAAGGGACCCTTCTTTTGACTGCATATTTTCTGATTCCATTTGTTGTGTACTTGGATATAACTCATCTGTAAATACATAAAAATTTAAATATTTTAGATAGATTTTGTTTACAGTTTAAATCAAATATTTTGTCATGTACAGTATCATTATTAGACTGACTCTGAATATATGTGAATTTCCAATTTTGGAATCCTTACTTTTTGAAAAAAAATTAGGGTCTGAATATAAGTAAACCTTTTAATATTAATTTTATTTGCATACAAAAACTTTTGATCAGAACTTTCATTGTCTACATTGCTATCATGCTCTTCACCCTCCTTGAACAGCACATACCATTCTGTCTGTTGTTGATAATGCATTTCTTAAAATCTTTATAATTGTGTCTTCAACAATCTTTCATAATTTTACTTTAATCTTTAATACTTTACTACTTTCTATAATTTTTACAAAATATATATAAGATATATATATGTTACCAGCCAAACCCAATTTCAGGCCAAATTAGTTTATCCTACGTGTGTCAGGATATACTAGTTTAGCCTAGGACAATCTAGTTTGGCCTAAATACTTTAGGCTTAACTAGTTTATCCTAGACCGAACTGATTTAGAATTATTATTTAAGTCAGGCCTGACCAACCCAAATTGTTTCGCGGGCCACTTTGATCATGCGTAACATTACAATGGGCCACAATTTAGGCAAACATACTTTTAAAAAAGTAAAACAAATACAAAATTAATAAGATTTCATTGTTTTACCAAGAGTTCATACTCGCACTTGCACATTATAACAATGACACATGCAAATTTTCATTTATTTAATTGTTTTGGTATACACAAAACAGAAAACGAAAGTTTTAATAGATATATAATATCACTTAGCGGGCCACACAATTTAATGTGATGGGCCGCGGGTTGGCCAGGCCTGATCTAANTTTCATTTATTTAATTGTTTTGGTATACACAAAACAGAAAACGAAAGTTTTAATAGATATATAATATCACTTAGCGGGCCACACAATTTAATGTGATGGGCCGCGGGTTGGCCAGGCCTGATTTAATTATATTAATGATTAAAATAAAATTAAAAGGCAATCAATTAGATGAACAATACTTATTCAAACATAGTCTACTTAATTATAAAAAACAGTATTGATTAGAAGTGACACAACACTTGTACAAAAGTATAAAATAAAAATAAGCTAATCGTTACTTATCAGTTTGTATTTTTTTTTTATTAAGCCATGCACTTTTAAAGGTAATTAACTTTCGAAAATATTTTCAAAAATTCAAACAAAATAATAAAAATAACTTTTAAAGTCAAACTAAAATTAAAAATGAACTTGTTTGTGTTTCTTAGTGTAACATAAAATATCTAATCTTTTATTTATTTTTACAGGGTGGGTTAAAGTGTACCTAGGTAACCCTAATGGCAGCACTTCGGACTGTTCATGCTCCCGGCTGACTCCTCCCGGAGGGGAGTCACAGGCAGGCCGCCCATTGTTTACTAACATCACTAGTTATTGATTCACAAAAAAAAAAAAAAAAAGTCTACTAAAAGTGTAATTAACCTATCCAAACCAACCTAACTGAAGCATCGCCATTGGGATTACCTAGGTACACTTTAACCACCGGGTGTACTGTAGTGGCATTTTGAATTACACAAAATCATTTTTTTTTACACTGGCACCTATTTGTAGTACATAAATCAGTTTGGCCTAGGTCAAACTAGTTAAGCCTAAGGTATTTAGGCCAAACTAATTATCCTAGGATAAACTAGTTTGGCCTGAAATTGGGTTTGGCCATAACATACATATATATATATAACAAGAATATAATATTAAATATATAACAAGAATAAGATAGTAGTAAAATATTAATAATAATAGAATATTTTATACACATATATACAAAATCATATAGCAATGCAGGGTCATAAATGCTTTCCTGAAGCAGTGATGTACACAGAAACAGCTAACCTCTGGTGCAGGCTTGCAAAGAAATTATGGCTGGGAATATGCCTCATCAGATATCGTTCCATGTACAAGTGCTGTGCGGCTGGCCCATTACAACCTGCAGGCCTGTACACCAAATGCATATCAGCTAACTGTGTGTCCTTGTGTGAAATGACGATTCCCTGGAAGAACGCTCGGAACTTTCGCGCAACGCCATCTACCACAAAAGCATTTTCAACCCCACATTGCTATATGATTCTGAGTTGGCAGGATGCACCTTACCCCTCTTAGAAGTTCTGAAATGTTTAACTGAGACACCCTGTATATATTAATATTATATATACATTTACTCATTAATTTTTTTATAAGCAGTATAACCTATCTACTGATGAAGTTTTTGAAGTTTTGTTTTCAGCATTTTTTTAAATTTATATGAATTATAAATTAAGGTTTTTTTTACTTAAACATAGTTTTACTTATTCTCATCTATTATTAAACATAACATTAAAATTATTACTATTCCTTTACAAAAATATTAATTATTAGTTGATAATCATAGCTGAATATTGGCTGATCAATACATCATCATTATTACATATTATAAATACTACTACTGTTGCATATATGAGGGTGGATTTAAAAGTTTCTGGAATCGCCACTAGGGGTTGTTTTGCTCAGAAATATTTTTCCCGTGCTGCATTAGCAACTCTCTCCTATGTTTTGACCCCAAATTTCACATTGATCTGGCAAATAGTTAGTTTTTACAAGCGTTGAAGAGTGAGCCACCATGTGTGCATGTTCATACAAGGAGAAAAATGAAATTTGAGCTGTCATCAAATTTTTTCATTTGAAGGGAAAAACTGCAACGGAAATCAAATTTAGGTTGGACAATGTACTTGGTAAATTTATCACCATTTTCCAAGTAAGTTTTTGGGTTATTGTTTTCATTGTCATTCTGGAAACTTTTCAATCCACCCTTGTATTATAAATATATGCAGTAGTAGATAACTTTCATATATATAATTAATATTTTCCTCTTGGAAAAATTTGATTTCATATTATAAAAATTAATTAATTTAAATTTCATTTACCTATTTTTGTTTTGTACTCATTCATCAACTCTTGAACAGCTTGTTGTGCCTCTTCAAAACTTTCATATATTTTTAATTTTGGACGTAATATTGAAATGGTATCTTTCACCATAAATTCCACAGTAACAGGAAAAGGATATTCTTCATTAAAAACTTCACTTGATTTTTTATACCAAAAGTAATACTATATTTATTCACACAATAAAATAGTAAGTTTAGTAAATTTAAAATAAGTTGAAAAGTTTTTTCTAAATTTTTCCACAACATACCTGAAAAAATACAAGAAAGCAATCTAACTTTTTTTTACTTGAACCACTGTTAAAATACTGACCACACGTATCTAATAAAATGCAGACAAGACGAATTCGAAACAAGTTATCAGGAGGATCCAGTTCAGAATAAGAACCTATTAAAAATATCAATCATATTAAATTTGCAAATTTTGCAAACTCATAACTAAAATCTGTGTTCTTCAATAAAAGAAAAAGCTACATCTACTGATATAATGTTAAAAAATAAGGATGAAATTAGGAGTGCCTAGTTAATAATTATTAATTATAAGATATGTAAATTAATATTTTAATTTATTTTATGATATTAATTATGCTGTTTCATATATTAGACAGATTAAAAAGCCTGACACTTAAATATAAAAAAACAGTAATTATATTCTTTTTGAAAAAGTTCAGAGGAATCCAAAATTAATCAAAGTAATTCTTACCATCATATGGAACAGCAAAAGTAATACATAAATATAGTATCCTAAAAATAACAGCAGATTCAACCATACGATAATTATACAATTCGCCTAAGTATCTAATCATGCTGACTCTACGCTGATGATATTTTGGATGATTAATCTGAAAAAAATCAAAAATGTTAATATTGAAAATGAAATGCAAAATAATCATTCTTAGTAAAATTACCTCCATTCCCAGTCGAATATCTTCTAATACGCCATCTACTACTTGTGGGCCAACAATTTCCTTTAAAAACATTAAAACAAATATTTATTATTTCAATGATTAGTTTTTATAAAATATTATTATTAAACTTTAAGTGACTATATATATATATATATATATGTAACAATATACTATATGTCACAATGCTCACATAGTGAATTTTTTCCCCTCAGAAAAGTGGCAAAATACTCATATGCAATATACTTGAGTTGTATATGAAAATTTTGCATTTACATCTACACATATCAACATCTTGTTTCTGATTTAGTAATCTTGTTTCTGAAAAATCTTCATGTAATTATATTCTATTATAAAAAATATTTTCTGAATATTTTGCTTTGAAATCTAGTACTATTATCTACATACAGTTACTTAAAAAACAATTTAGAAAAATTATTTTTAGACATGCATTAGCCACCAAGTTCTTTATTACTTTTCTTCTAAATTCTTCTAATTTCTATATTAAACAATCCAAAGCCCTATATATATATATATATATAAATACTTGGGCTATAAATCTGCTAATTTTAATAATTAGTACTAAGTAATTTGCTACTAGAGGGGTAGACATTAAGCATCATCTCTTATCTAAATTAATAATCATAATTTATTAAATAATTCAGAATCATCTGGAAGAAAGAACTGGCCCAATAAATAAATAAATAAATAAACAAATAAATAAATATATATATTTATTTATTTATTGGGCTTCAGGTTGTTTAATATACTTATATACCTCACCAGGTGAAACGTTAGCTAGGTTAGTGCCATTGTGGAGATGTAAAGTACTGTACAGTACATAGGCTGTGGTTGTAGGAGTCATCCCCAGCTGGCACCATGATTAACTGCATACGGTTATATCTAAATTTAAATACATCTGGAAGTGAAGGCTTGCTCGAGATCTGGGTGGCACAACTGGCAAGCGAACCACATGGTAAGTCATGGATTCAAGCCCCATCCCAGGCTAGTTCTTTAGTTTCAGATGATTCTGAATTATTTAATAAATTATTTAAATTATAATTATTAATTCATATAAGAGATGGCACCTAATACCTACCTCGAGTGGCAAATAACTTAGTATTAATTAGTAAAAATAGTAGATTTATAACCTGAGTATTTAAGGCGATCATTTGGCTATATATCTTTTAATTTCATTTATCAGTTTATTTGTCCACAGTGCTTTGAAAATAATGTAAGGTTTTATTTTAGATATAGTTAGAAATTTATCTTTTACTTTTGGATCAAAAGAATATGGTTTTTTTTTTATAGCTGTATGAAAAAACTTTTTTCACTTGCTCTGTATAACTGAAGAGTTTTCATTGGGCTGCAATTTGAAAACACCATAGACCTATAAATTCACACTGTTGTCCATCCGTCCTTAATCTCAAGAATGGTGTTAGATGAATGAAATTCAAGACCAGATGTGGAAAGCTTAGGGGCAGGGGGCCTCAATTAACTATATATGAACTTCTTATGCAAACTAGAAGTCACATTATTTCAATTTAATAATGTTCCCCTGAAAGGAGTTAGATGGCCAGCATGATTCTATTGCTAATGGAAAAGCATGATGTACAGGGACAAAACACTACAGTACTAATTTGAAGTGGAGAGCATATATTTTAAATTAAATTAATTAAAAATTGCAGCCTGGCATTGTAATGATGTCACAATAAATAATTGCTTGTTATCATCTGCATCATTATTCTCATCTGCTCTTGAAGAATCATTTTTAGATGTATTACTATTACAGTCATTTTCATTATCTATGGAAATATGTTGTTCTTCACTGTCTAACTCATCAATGCACTCATTGAAGGCTTTTCTTAACTTACATCAGGTAATTTACCATACTACTGAGTGAGACAGAGAATAGAAATTTCTGACACTTTCTAGGAAATAAATTATAAAGTTCCAACTTCCAAACTCCTTCAGTAAAAAGCTGTGAGGGCAAATGACCTGTTTGCTTCCCAGCAAATGCCTTTGGTGTCAACCAGTGACCGAGTGAATAAAACTACTGAACACTGACAGTAGTGTGTTCACACTTAACCAATAGGCTGACCACATGGAATTTCTGGGTTTTCATATTCCTAGCATCTAAAAATGTCAGTTTATATAAAAATCCTCTTGGAGGTACCCTTTGCAGACTTTCCTAGTTTTGCATTGTTTTATTCTTTCAAATCCTATGCTCTCTCCTCAATCAATTCTAGCACATTATCATTCAATAGATTTCTTGAAATTCCTAATTCAAAATTTTCAATAATTTCACTTGATATATAATTAAATAATATATATTTATTTCTATTACAGTAAAATTTATTGCATAGTAAAAATATATAAAATTATGAAAGAAATATTAAAATTAGGAATGGTATTAAAAGATATTCTTTATTGAAAATGGTAGTATATCTTTGTAAATAATAAAAAATATTTAAAGACTAGTGAACTGAACAGTATACAAGATAAAATTTGATATAAATTAATTATTTTAGAATTATTATATTTCTGTTTTATTTCTGTAGCTGAAGATAGTAATATTAATGAAAAAATATGGAATATTTTTTATTAAATGAATTAATAAAATGTTTATCTGCACCAGTACAAATTCTGGAAAGATTTTCTGATTTGTAATCTTAAAAACTTTTGATTTTTTATGTTATAACAATAAATCATATGGAAATAATTTTATGTTAGAAAATATGAATGACATATATTCTTAGAATACATTTGACTGATCAGTTAAATGTATTCTGAGTAAGTGTCTCATTTATAAAAAAATATTTTAAGTTAAATTATTAATTTACAACATATAATTCATTCAAAATATTGGAAAGGCTTGTTAATCTAATGTAAACCAAATCGTTAAGTTATTCAAAATATAAAAATTCAATAGTCAAACAGATTTGAATCACAACTTCAAATAACTGATTCAATATTTTGTTTAGTCAATTTTTCAAAAGTTGACGGTTTGAAACTATTACTTAGCAATTGTCTTTGTGCATTTTTATTGATTTGGCAATACACAATACAGTTTGCATATAAATAATACAATATTTAAACAATAGATAAAAAAATCCAATCTTTATAAAAAATTGTTGTTAATTCTTTCAAAATATTAAAAATTGTAACATAATTTGTAAATGGTATTAACATATTTAAAAGTTTTAAATAAACTTCAAAATATTTTTAAAAATAATTTTTAATTAAAATTAGGGTCAGTAAAATTTTGTATAATATTCAAAAATATGTTCTCACTCACTTGATAAGCTACTAAACCTGCTAGAAGATTCGCTACACATCGGATATTATAATATTTCACATTCCAAATGGCAGTAAGGCATTTTGCAGCATATGAACTTATATCTGGGTCTTCCCAATTCAGTTTGCGCATCTGACGTAATATCTAAAATGGTAAATTGACAAAAATTAATAATTTTTGAAAATTATAAATTAATTATAAACATTACTCAAGGGTTTCTTTAAACCAAATTATATTAATTATAATATTGAAGTAAAATATTTATTTCAAAATATTAACTAAAATAATTTAAAATTTTGTTTTGTTTTGTCATGCTTAAATTTTATTGCTGGGTAACAGATAAACTATTAATCATTAGGAAATTAGTCTAGTATTCCTCTGGTTGACTTAATTGGATTCAACAACTGCTGATAACTTTGAAATATTTTAAGGGACAATTATCAAGTTAGCCAATTAACAATGAACATTTAATTGCACAATTAATTATCAAGTATTTTTTAAAATATAAAATTTCATGTTTAGTTTTAACTTTTTATAACACCAAGTTTTGTTTAGTATTTGCCAATTACATTTATAAATATTTGTTTTATTATTTATTTACAGCTTTAAAGTTGTATGAAAACATTAAAAAATATTTTACATAAACCATCCTCACTCAAGTTGGGTTACTACTATAAATTTTAGTACTCAGAGATTCAATTTGCATACAAAAGGGGAAAGAGGCTTTGACCGTTTTGTTATTTTTTTCCTTGTTGCCATTCGTTAGTAAGAAACGCCATAATGTCTATTGGTTTATTCAGTATACTTAGAAGGTGTATAACATGATTACACCATGATAATGAAAAAGGAGTGAATTTATATTCACAAAATAAAGGAAATCAGTCTCTCTTATTTAGTATCCTGTCTATATTGCATTGTAGAGAGCATGCTTGTTTTATATGCAAGATACTAGGGAAAACTGTACAGTTTGGCTATGTAACTGACTTAAAACTAATGCAACTGGCACAGAAATAACTACATTCATTAGATAAATGGGATTCTTAAATTAAAGATGTTTGGGCACTATGCACATTCCCCTCCTCTGTTCCCTTAATGTCTAATATTAGATTGTCTCATATTCTTGAATGATCAATAAAACTAACCTAACTTATCTACAATAGCTAGGATTGCAACCATCTGATTTTGAATAAGACTGTTCAGTTCTATTGATCTTGTCCAGTGTCTAAATGAGAGGTCAAACCAAACACCAGACAATTTCATTTGAATTATGTAGTATGCTAATTTTATAACAACTCAGTATAATAGAAATAGTTTACTGTGATAATTCTGAAGTTTCTTGACATTGATTCATTATAAAGTTTCATTATCTTTTTTAATGTAGAATGTGATTATATACTTTCTTGATAATTCTATATTGATGCCATTCTGAGTAAATAGGCACAATAATTTTAATATTATATATATATTCTTAATTCTTAAATTATTATTAGCATTTTAATGAACATATTTTAAGCTAATAATGTAATCTCTTTAAATGATAAGTTGAAAATTTTACTGTATTTTATACTAGATATGTATTTAATATTCCTTTCTTTTTGTCTTTGTTTGTTTATCAAACAATTGCTATCTACCAAACAAGACACCCTTTGCATCCACATATCATAGATGTATGAATATGATACCACGATTGTTTACATTATCAAGTAGCATCATAAAGGAATTTCACCTACTTTCTCAATTTTAGGGACCCTCCCTTCTAAATTTTTAGCAATAGAGATTAAAGATAATCAAGACAAACAACTTAAAATAAAAAAATTATCAATTAATTGTTAATCTCACAACATTTGGAGGAAAATACAAAGAACGACAGTCATTTCCCCTTTTCAACTAGTGTTAAGTGACAGTTGTTACTTTATCTACATCATGTAGACACACAATTCATACTAGACAAGAGAGAAAAAAAGACTAAATCAAGCTTATCTCTCATTACATCAACTTCCTCCAGAATAAAATCACAAATGATCAGAAAAAAAAATAAAACAAAAAAGAATGACTAGAAAGAGAGTGAGTCCCACACTCAGAAAGAACAGGAGAAAAAAATGAATACAACATCTAGAAAGAGTCAACATAACAGTAGAGAGTTGTGCAAGAGGAGTGTCAAATCTGGAGGAGATAGAGTCAGTGCAAAAAGCAAAAAATAAGGATAAGGTGCAAAAGGGAGAAAAGAAAAAAGGAACCAAAGAGAAGACAGAAAGTTTCTGAGGAAAAGACAACTCTTTCCCTGGTATGTTGTGAGTCACAAAGTTCAGATTTCTCCTCTCTAGGTACCTCCTAGGTTTAATAGTCCATAAACAGTCTAAATACCAAGGATAGACTTTGTTTATCCACATGCAGGTATTATCATCAACAAACTCATCTTCAATATTAATTTTAAATCTAATTTTAATGTTATGTTAAGTTTTTGTAATAAACTTTCCTTGTTTTTATTCTTAAGTTGGTTTAGTTGATTTTACATTCATCCTCCTGAGAGGCTCATTCCTGGACTATGGGGTAACTTTTACTTTCATTCCTTACATATCTATGTCTTATCTAGAGTCTAAATCAGAGGTGTGACTTATAATCCAAGACTGTGGAGTCGTAAAAATCTACCGACTCCAACTCCAACCAGGGGCGGACTTGTTAACAAAATAGGCCCGGGAATTCTGATGTCATCACGTGACTTCATAATAAGAGATTCAATAAATAGAGTTCTATTAAAGATAGAAAGTAGAAACTTTTTATTCCAAACCTAAAAGACTCCTCTAAGTAATATATAAATATGTATTCAATAATTTTTACTTTCCCGGCTGTTATTTATAACAGAGGGAAAGTGTAGCAATTGATCAAAAAATTACCTCCCCAAACTTTTACATTTTTGGACTCAGGACACCTTGAAATTTTGAGATATGCAAAAGATTTGAGTTTTTTTTTCTGTATGTATGACTGTGTGGGGAGGCACAATTTTTTTCTTCTTGTTTGAAGTCTAATAACTTTTAAATCGATAAATAATTGTATACTTGCTTACTGGAGAATTCAACTTAAAAATAAAAAACCATTCAACTATCCAGCATAATTCTTTAATAACATAAAAACGTTTTCAAACGCACTAAGCGTTCATCATCAGTTATTTCTCTAATTCGAAACAGGAAATTCAAAAAATTACGCAATCGAATTTCAAATAAACGATTATGTAAAAAATTAAAATGTAACGTGTTATAAACGAAAATGATATATACAAATTTCCATGTATTTAATAAATAATAATAAAAATAAATAAAAATAAAATATCTATCAAAGATCATCCTAAGTCCNACGCGTTATAAACGAAAATGATATATACAAATTTCCATGTATTTAATAAATAATAATAAAAATAAATAAAAATAAAATATCTATCAAAGATCATCCTAAGTCCAATTAAGCCTTTTTTTTTTTTATAGATCTATGCCAATCCGTCGCAAAAAGATTTCCAAGCAGACGAAAGCCCGTCGGCATTCCTATAGTTGATACACTGCGTGCTCTTCTGCGCCCTGTGGATTTCCATCTTTTTGAGATATTTTACTGCGTGTCTAGATCTGGTAGCTTTTATTATAGAGGCCTGGTCCCAGAAAACAATAATGCCTTGTTGTTTAGCATTAGTGGCAAGGACCATACTGTCAACAGTTTTGTTCACCGAAAGCTTATGTTCATTGATTCTTTTTTTCAAATTCCTCAAAGTTGTGCATATATATACTAAGTTAGAGTTGAACCTATGGTATCTTAGCAGTATTGAGTATATTCCTGTTAAGGAGTTATGTTCATAATGACCTTTGTCATTCCTTAATATCCTGTATATAGTGGGATTACGTTGATAAACTATTTGTAAGTTCTTTTTTTTGGAAACCCTCTTGACAATCGGTTTAAGGAGGGGTATATAATCGAGGACCACTTTTTCTTTTTGGTGGTTTTGCTTTTGCCTACTTGCCAGATTATTATCCTTCTTAATGAGAGCCTCTATTCTTTTCCTCCCATAGCCATGCTGTATGGCAGTTCTTTGTACATATTGTAATTCCTTAACTGTATCACAAATGTTTGTGCAATGCGTGTGTGCTCTTCTTATCCAAGATCGAAATACCGCCATTTTAATATGCTCTGGATCCGCCGAATTCTTAGGGATAATGATGGGGATAGATGTTGGTTTACGATAAATGTTGGTTCGGACTTTCCCTTTTTTGCATGTTATAGTCAGATCCAAGAAATTAATGTTACTACTATCTTGTTGCTCCAATTCCAAGGTTAATCTATACGGGTTACTGTTTATCAGATCTATAAAACGCTCGATATTGCGATTATCCTTCCACAAGATAAAGACATCATCAACATATCTTGCATATACCAATATATCTTGTTGTAATGAAGAGAGAATATTGTTTTTTAGATTATAGAGCACCAACTCGCAGAGGACTGATGACATGGGGCTACCCATTGGTACTCCCCGCCCCTGTAGATACGTTTTATTTTCAAATTCAAAAAAAGAAGTGTGACAAATCAAATCCACTAATTCTAAAATCTGCATATGGTATTTGATAGCGTTATTAACATTAGCAAATAAAAAATCTCTTAGGGCACAAAAGCATGGAAGCAGTTTGATTGATGGGTGTAACGCTTTATAATCCAAAACTGTCATCCATTCCTCATTCATGAGCGCAACATTTTCCAGTTTCCGGATCAAGTCCACCGAGTTTTTTATCAAAAAAGGTGAAATCTGCATCTTTTTTTGTATGAATTTAACAAGTTGTTTTTCTATTCTGAAGGTTGGAGCATTACAATTTTCACGCAGATTTTAGAATTAGTGGATTTGATTATGGGAAGAAAAGAATAGAGGCTCTCATTAAGAAGGATAATAATCTGGCAAGTAGGCAAAAGCAAAACCACCAAAAAGAAAAAGTGGTCCTCGATTATATACCCCTCCTTAAACCGATTGTCAAGAGGGTTTCCAAAAATAAGAACTTACAAATAGTTTATCGACGTAATCCCACTATACAGGATATTAAGGAATGACAAGGGTAATTATGAACGTAACTCCTTAACAGGAATATACTCAATACCGCTAAGAGACCATAGGTTCAACTCTAACTTAGTATATATAAACACAACTTTGAGGAATTTGAAAAAAAGAATCAATGAACATAAGCTTTCGGTGAACAAAACTGTTGACAGTACGGTCCTTGCCACTAATGCTAAACAACAAGGCATTATTGTTTTCTGGGACCAGGCCTCTATAATAAAAGCTACCAGATCTAGACATGCAGTAAAATATCTCAAAAAGATGGAAATCCACAGGGCGCAGAAGAGCACGCAGTGTATCAACTATAGGAATGCCGACAGGCTTTCGTCTGCTTGGAAATCTTTTTGCGACGGATTGGCATAGATCTATAAAAAAAAAAGGCTTAATTGGACTTAGGATGATCTTTGATAGATATTTTATTTTTATTTATTTTTATTATTATTTATTAAATACACGGAAATTTGTATATATCATTTTCGTTTATAACACGTTACCTTTTAATTTTTTACATAACCGTTTATTTGAAATTTGATTGCGTAATTTTTTGAATTTCCTGTTTCGAATTAGAGAAATAACTGATGATGAATGCTTAATGCGTTTGAAAACGTTTTTATGTTATTAAAGAATTATGCTGGATAGTTAAATAGTTTTTTATTTTTAAGTCTTATAACTTCTGTGGTTTTTGAATCGGAGTCAGATGATTTAACACAGAAGTTATTAAGCTCTCAAAGTGGTTGAACTAAATTGTGCCCCCTCACACATTCTAACATCTCAGGCAAGAACATCTTAATCTCTACCATCAAAATTAGGCTTTTGGTCATAAAATGACCAAAAGCCTAATTTTGATGGTAGAGGCAAGTTTTATTTAAAAAAAATTATAAATGCTAATAATGAGTAAAATATTGATTAAGTCCAACCACACTGGAGATATGACACGTGATCCCTTCTATGTCTCCACCCTGTCAACCTTTACTTAAGAACCAAAATTTAATTAATAGTATTAATGCCCCTTTATACATAAGCCACTGCACCAAATTTCATTTCTTAAACTTTACCCATTCTGAGATATTGTTTAATATCTCAGAACATAGAATAAAGAAATTAAACAAATTAAATGCCAACACACACACACAAAATTTCCCCCTTTATTTAACGTTTTTTGGGTTTGGGAGGTCTCCAAACATGTAGATTTGCAAAAAACTCAAAGGATCAAATTTGACACAATTCCAATACTTTTTCATTTTATATACATAACAAGTTGGAAAAGTAAAAAGGAGTCAGAGTCGGCAGATTTTTGATGACTCCAACTAAAACATCAAAACTGCACAACTCCAACTCCACAGCCCAGCTTATAATACATATCTGGTTGCAAGATTCCTACCTAAAACTCTCAGATCTCGATTTTGATGGCCTAAGTCAAAAAATACTACAACAGAATAAAATATGTGAACAATTTTTTTAGATGAAACTATTTCCTTTTGTAATATTCCTTCAATTTCAAAATTTTAATTTTTATTTATCTAATCAAGAACTTCAAGAAGACAAATGAAAAATTCAATTTTAAAATCTTGAAAAATTATAAAATAAGACAATAAAATTGATAAAGAAATATAAATGCTTACTTTTTCTGTGTTGTTTTTGGAGAGATCTTTATACAACAATTTCCGAATATATTCATGTATTGGAGGACGTTCAATTTTAACTGTCTATAAAATATTATTGTTTTAAGTAATATGAACTTTTCATTCATTATTATAAATTGATATATAAAATATTCTTATATTAAATTAATGTATAAAATAATAATAAAATGTTCAAAGTATTTTCTCTTCATTAATGATTTACATCTATTTCCAATAAATGGAGGACTCAGTTCTAAAGTGAACCAAGTCCAAATTGAAATTTCTTTTATTACCTACATCATATTTAACTTATTTGTAATTTTTCTGCATTTTATTAATTTTGATTTATTGCCTAATAAATATTTGAAGGGTTCAATTCTAAAGTGTGTCAAGTCCACACAAACTATTTTGGAGATAAAATAATAATTCTTAAATAATTCTCTATCTTAAAAAGAAATCAAAATACACTAATGGGTACTATGTATACTTAATGCAGTGTATAATGCATTTTTCCAAACATAAAATGCAAATAAATTACAAATAAGTTAAATATGATGTAGGTAATAAAAGAAATCCAATATCAAAATATTAATTTTGATTTATTGCCTGATAAATATTTGACAATTGTAGGGAAAAGGACATTTTCCCCTTTCTTTCTTTTTGATCAAGAGAAACCTGTTTTCTGTTATATTAATTTAAACATGTTTTAACTAAAATTAATTTTAGAAATTATTTGTGATATAAAATATACAGTTTTCTAAGTTTTTGTCATTTTTATATTCTTTCCTCATTGTAATAAAACAAGAATAGAATTTGGGCTTCTTCAATTGTGTAACAAAATTGTTAAAATTTCTGCATTAAAAAATAATTACTTTAATTACAATTTTATTTTATATTTCAGTTCTTTCTGCAGTGCTAGTACAGATGCCACATTTTCTTCAAGTGTTATTTAACTATCTATGCATAAATGTTTATGCTAATGAGCATAACAGTAGTTCAAATAATTGAATATAATTCTATCATTATATAGATTGTTTTATACTTAAAAATAATTTAGTTATATATAGCTTTATTCATAAAGTAATTCAAATATTACCAGGAACTTTAAACATGTTCTTCCTTATATTATTTTGTCTAAGATACTAAATTTAGATAGTATTCATACTCATTTCTCTCATAACTGAGTTTGTTCTAAAATAATAATTTAATCAATATTAAAAGTATAAATTAGAAAATTATAACTATTTACAGCTATGTAACAAAATTATATTTAGTTTAATTTAAAATGACATTGTCCAAAAAATATACACATATAGTAGTCTAATCTGCCAAGGCTATGTCTCTGTTTTTATTCTATCATAAACAGTTGGAGTCAATAATCTATCTGATATCTTGAAATTCTATTCTTTATTATATTATAATAGTGCCTATAATAAATTATGATAGTCTTCATTGAGTTTGAAATTGAATCCACATAGCATCTTACACACAGCCAACATGAAATAAAATAGCATTACATTTTATCAATAAATATAAATTAATAGTAAATAAGAGAGAAACCTACAACAGGGCTTTCAGGAGGATTACAATAATAAAATGCATTTTCAATCATTGTAGTATAACGACCATCCAAAGGCATCACAGCTTTCTTTCTCATCATTTGTTCCTAATAAAATATAATAAAAGAATTATAAAAAAAACATAATTAATGCCCACAAAGTTCATATAATAAACACACATTAAATATCGAAAAATTTCTTGAAAATGATTCAAATTTTATTTTTATCATAATTCTAATTTCTTACCAAGTACACTTTTGTTCGTTGGTGGGATTCAGGTGCACGAAACAGAAATCTGCCACATGTTTCTAATAAATTACAAGCCATTTCTATGTGATGATGAGTAAATTCAAACAACAACATCTATTGAAATAAAAAAAATTAATAAATATGAAACATGAAAAAATAACTGCTTAAAATATTTAATACTTACTTTTAAACAACATAAAGCATCTGATTTTGAAAACATTTTGAACTTAACCAATTCCCCTAAAATTAATTAAAAAATAAGCTTAATTAAATTATTAAATAAAAATTAATTAAAGTAAAACAATAAACAATTCATAACTTACCAATAAATCTCACTGTTTTTACTTTAGACTCAATATTAATCTGATCTTTTTTCTTGATCTATAAGGAGGTAAGAAATTAATATTAATTTTACTTAAAAAATAAATAAGTTTTATTTTTTTAAATAAATAATAAATTTATTACATTAATAAAATTTTTAAAAAATAGTTTTAAAAACATGGAAAATAGTTGCAATTGTGATAGATATCTCAACAAATCCACATTAGAATGCAATTCATAAATATACACATATTTATTAACTATTTTCTATCTCTTAGAAAACTGTTCTTATTGGTTAACACTGATCTAATAAATTTAGAAACACTAAAATCATCAATAAGTCAACTTGTTTGTAAAAAATTAAGAAAAGTTTCTCTCTTAGATACATTTTTTAATATTTCATACCCATAGAGATGGGGGCACTCTGTTCATCATGGAGATTGGTGTGTTTTCGTTCACACCTTGATTCATTGGAAAATATTTGTCTATTTTGTTTTTCCTGTTTTTATCTTTACAATGTTTAATTTAAAACTGACTCAATTACTACTGCTGATGTCCGGAATTGAGCCGAACCCAGGCCCGCTTCAAAAAACGCCAACTAAAAGAGGAAGACCTCCAACAAACCGAACTACACAATCTTCATCCAACACTAAACCAGTTGAAGGTGAAACCAACTTAATTACCGATTATACTCAAGCAAGAAGAGCAGAACCAACTACTTCGGTAAGTGAAAATTCTACTTTGAATCCTTCATTTGAAAATTCAAATATGGAAATATCGGACAATACAACTTCACTTCTCTGGACGAAGATAGTTGACTTGATTACTTCTAGCAATGAAAAAACAATGTCAATTTGCTTTGATTCGCAAAGAAATTACTACTATTCATAATGAAATTAGTGATTTTACTGGACAAATTCAAACTACTAGAGATAGAAATGATAAAATTGAATCTGAACTTGGAAAATTAAAAAATGAGAATGAACTTCAATTTAAGATTGATGCAATGCATAACAAACTAAATAACAATAAGCTAATAATATATGATCATTTGAAAGTTTTTAGTGATGGAAATGAGGAGGAAATTTTGAGATTTTTAAATCATTCACTAAATATTCCATGCAAAATGGATGATGAGATTAAATTAATCCATAATATTCCTAATTCAAAGATTAATATTAAATGTTTAACTTTAAAATCTGGGACCATATTCTGGTCACCGTCTCTGGTCTCTCGACTCTCACAAGCGGGTCGCTGATTGGCTAATCCAAATGATTAACCAATCAGCGACCGGCTTGTGAGAGACGAGAGATGGTGACCAGAATACGACCCCTGATCAACTGAGAAATGAGATAATGATCACCTTTAATAAGCAAAAACAAAATAATTCGTTGGGACCATGGCAAAATTTAAACATGTCTGTAGATCTGGTTATTAATTCTTGTAAGAGAAGAAAAGCCTTATTACCTTACTATATTGAATTAAAAAAATGAAATATACAGGTTAAAATTACGAGATGACTTTCTAATAATCAAACAGAAAAAAGTAACTTACAGTTTCTTAACAAATCAATTGATAAATGCAGAGGATTTTTTAGAATATATGATTTAAATAAGCCTGATAAATGTCAATCTTCTATAATACTCAATAATGAAGCTGATAGTAATAAAAATCAAGAAAAATCTTATCTAAATACAATAAATTGGAATTGTAATGGTTTATTGAAAAAAACTGATAACATTGAATTTAAACAATTATTAAACAGTACCAATATAATGGGTCTAACAGAAACTTGGTTAACTTTGCCACATAAAGAATTAAAAAATAATTATATAGAACATACTGTGTTATCAACTGTGGCGCATAAGCCAGCTGGGCCTGGTCGTCCATATGGTGGCTTAAGTTTATTCATCAGGAAAAATATAGGTATAATTAAGAATATACAGAAAAATGATAACTATATGTCAGTTTTAATACAAACTAACAATCCACACCTACAGTTCTTGTTAAACAGACTAATAGCCATTATGTTAGTTTACATCCCTCCAGATCAACTGCAGATTTTAAACAATGTATATAAACACATAGAACAATGGAAAATGATTACCCCATATATTATTATAATAGGTGATTTAAATGAGAGAATATCCCAAAAAATGGATACAAAATACAAGCAGTGGTGATATTCAGCGGGTTCGCACAGGTTCGGCCGAACCCGTTGTTAACATTTTCAAAGTTTTCCGAACCCGTTGTTAAACACACGTAACATTTCTCAGTGGTTTTGTTTCTTTTAAAAAATATATTAAAATATACGTATTATACTCTGTAACACTACTAAACTAGAGCCTTATACCCTGTTCGCCTTGGTGCAACCTCCATCGACCGTTTCAATCTCGACTGAAACGAGGTTTAATCGCGATCGACTCAAGAGAGTTCTTGAAACTAGGTCCAGTCATACGAGAGATCCCACAATCCCACGCGCGCGAGAAAATACAAGATGGCTGCGGAACACGTGTCGGGCTATCGACAGCGAAATAAGAAAGATATTGTATTTCGAGAGACGATGACATCTGTCTATTATTATAATAATACCTAACGATAAAATAAATGATTTAGAAAAGTTTTTTCTTGAGAAAAAGTCATAAGGAAAGCAATTAAACCTGCTTTTCCTGTGACTTTTTCTGATTACAAAAAACCAATTTTTATGTTTATAAAATATTTTGAATGAAAAACAATTAAAATATGTACAAAATAAACCATTTTGAACACTCTTTTTATTATTTATAAATATATATATATATATAGTTCTGGCATAAACAATGTTAAATTTTAACTGACTTAATTTTGCGAACGCATCTTTATTTATATGGTTCTTAAGGTCAGTTTTTGCGCTAATGTTGCTAATGAACCATTTGAGCGAAAAAAAAACTGTTAAGGAAAAATTTTCTGTTAGCGAACCCTTTGTTAAATATTTCGAATATCACCACTGAATACAAGGGACCAAATTCAGAAATTCAAAATAATCGTAAATCAAAAGATAAAAAATATAACAAAATAGGACTTCAATTATCAGAATATTTGAATCAATTACAACTATATATATTGAATGGTAGAATTAAAAATGATTACCCTGCAGAATTTACTTGTCTGACCAATTCTGGCTGTTCAACAATTGATCTAATAATCCGTTCAGAACTAATTACTGATTTATGCACATGTATTCAAGTATTAAACTATGATCTCTCTGACCATTTTCCAATAAAAATGTCTATTGAAATATCAAATAATCAACTATATAAATCTGATTCAATATCACATCATGAATACCCAAATGAAAAATGATAATATCAACAAAACAACTTGGAGCTATAAGTTTAATAGAGTACTACAGTCATTCGGAGTATCTAGTGCATTATTTGACAACTGGAAAAATGCCTACACTATGATGATGGATTCAGCGATTTCGCATTTGATAATCAACGATCAAAACGCTTTACTTAATTCAACATATCATCCTTGGTACTTGCATATCTTTAGTTTTCCTAATCATTCGAACATTATTACAATGAATACAACTTTAAATATTAAACATATTTTACTACAATTGAGACTTAATCAATTCTCCTTAATTGTAAATAATAATTATATTGATTTTACTAAATCATGTTATTGGTGTAATTCCAATAACTTCTCCGCATTTCATCTGCTGAGAGACTTTACTGAGTTGAAAAAATATCAACAACAATTTCAAATTCTATGAATATTTTCTTCAAACAATGAAATTGATTATAGATCCAAATTGGGCAACTTATCAAAAATAAATATGTATAAAGATGTTAATTTCTTTAACCAAATTGATAAAGATTTGTATGCTCAATATAGGAATTAAATATATGTTCAATTAATTATTTATTATTTTTATATAAATAATTAAAAAAATAATATTTATATATTGCTTGGATTGTTTATACCTTAATCACTACCCCCTGTAACAAGAATTCCTTATTATGAATAAAATATATATTTTAATAAAAAGTAAAATACATCTGGATATGAGTCCAATTTTGCGTGCTATGTCCTGTATAATAGTTGTTCCTGGTCAATCACCAGGAACAACTATTTCCATTGCAAAGACAACCTTTCTTTAGAGGCTATGCCTCTGCATAAATATGCAAAACAGTTTAAAATGGCCTCAGGTGACAATCCCAACACAATTAAAAATATAATATTTCTTTGTAGAAAAGGGCTGGCAGAATTACAATTTAATAAAAAGTAAAATACATCTGGATACGAGTCCAATTTTGCTTGCCATGTCCAATCACCAGGAACAACTATTTCCATTGCAGAGACAACCTTTCTTTAGAGGCTATGCCTCTGCACAAATATGCAAAACAGTTTAAAATGGCCTCAGGTGACAATCCCAACACAATTAAAAATATAATATTTCTTAGAAAAGGGCTGGCAGAATTGTAATTCTGCCAGCCCTTTTCTATCCATAGTGATATTATCTTTTCTACCTTTTCTATCCATAATGATATTATCTTTTCTACCTTTTCATACCCATAGTGATATTATACAAGGTTCCTACTCAAATTTTTGTTTTAATTTCCATGACTTTCCCTGACCAACTTTGTAAAAATTCCCTGACTCTCACATCCCTTACAGTATGGCACATTGAAAAAATAAAACAGCATTTGACTTCCTATGCACATATGTTTTGCTTCTCCAACATTTTAAATAGTTATTTTTTCTAATCAACAGTTATATATTTTTTATAATTGCCAAATTATTAAAACTAAAAATGAAATGTTTTATTAAAATTCTGTTATTAATCCAAAACCATAAATCTACAGAGCTTTGGGAAAAAAAAAATTTATTATTTTTTTATTATTCATTAACAAATTCTATATAATCTACATACAAAAGTATATATTTATTAAATTTATCTCTTAATAAATTTCCTAAACTTTATAAAATATTAATAAACTGGAAAAAAATCAAAAATTGTTTTTTTATGCAATCAAAATTATTAAAATAAAAAATGATAAATAATACCATTTAAATTATTTATCATTTTGTGTACTGTTTTAAATTTTTGAGGAAATTGTAAGCTTAGAAGAAATTTTGGATCCTAAAAATATTCTGCACCCTTTTCCATAAGTTGTATTGCATCATGTTACTTCTTGCTGCCTGTAGACAGTTACACTTAATCAAGCATATTGTCAGCAAATAATCAAGGCAACCAATAAGGCAAATCCACTGACTTTTTGACATTTTTTAATAAATTCCCTGACATTCTATGATTTTTCTGAACACTAATGAAAATCCCTGACTTTCAACCTGATTTTCCAGGTGCATAGGAATCCTGTATATATCACCAACTTCATCCACAGAGCATTGTCTTTATTAGAACAGCTGAGATCTCACAGACACTGAAGAGCAATTGAATTAGGGATACCTGTCTAGTAGCGTGTAGCACCATCTTTTGCCTTGATGACGACTGCGATTCATCTTGGCATGGACTCCACAAGACAGTGGAAGTGATGGGAAGCCATACGTATCCACAAGTCCTGAATAATCTCCCACAAATCACAAAGATTAAATGGAAGGTGGTCAGAGCCTCAAACATCTCTCTTAATTGTATCCCAAATGTGCTCAATTGGATTGAGGTCAGGTGACAGTGATGGCCAGGAAAGTACGTGCAGTTCTGTGGAATGTTCATCCAACCATTCAGATACAATTTGGGAGCAATGGCACAGTGCATTGTCTTGTTGAAAGACAATCTTTGTAGTGGCTGTCGAGAATGAACAAACAGGAGCAGATGGTCGTCAAGGATATCCTGCTAACGTTCACCTGCCAGTGACACTGTCACATATATCAGGGGTCTCATTTCAGTCTATGTGAACAGTCTCCACCCAAGAATGCCACCTCCGCCAGCTTGAAGAGTTCTCTGCTGGCAGGAAAGATCCATCGCTTCATGTGGTTTACAGCATACACATACTCTGTACCAAAGTGAATCTCGACTCATCACTCCAGGAAACAGTTTTCCACATCTCGATGGTCCATTGGCGATGTTCCCGCGCCCATGCTAATTGTTGCGCCTTGTTTTGTGCAGTCAGCAGTGGGACTCTTGTAGGATGATGACTCCTGTACCCCATTGAGAGGAGATGGTTTTGTATGGTGTGACAGCTTACACTTTGCTGTGCACCAGCATTAAATCGATAGGTGATCTGATGCACTGTGGCCTGTCTATCTGCTGTTACAATGCGGACTAGCCATCAATGATCTCGCTCATCCACAGGCTGTTGTCCACAGCAGTTGACCCTGGCAGCAATGGTTTTACCAGAATCAATGTACTCATGGTACACTCTCAACACAGTGGTGTGTGAAAATCCCAGTGTTTCCACTACTTCTGAAATGGAGTGACCCATTTGTCTGGCCCCGATGATTTGTCCACGATCAAATGTGCTATGGGTAAGATCTTTACTCTTACCCATTTTGTTTCTGACTGTTACTGATACCATTAGCAGCACTCCTTATCTTGTCAAACTGCTGCTTACCTCATCTGCAAAACACTTTCATGCTTACACACAACTCAAAATTTGCATAACGCCAGCTATCCCTAATTCAATTGCTTTTCAGTGTAATTAGATCAGCTTGTAAATGAATTTATTGAACATCACATGGTTTCCCGCTTCTTTTCTCACTTAAAACTTAAATACTTTTTAAAGACTTATAAGAACTGTAAAAAAATTTTTAAGCACTTACATTCTGAAGTCTTTAATAAAGCAATAAACCCAAAGAATTGAGTATAATGGGTCTTTTTAAGAATTTAATATTACATCTAAATCATCAATACATTGTTCATTCCTAAAAAATAATGGAAACAGTATAAAGTAGGGTTTGATAAGCTACCTGGAAAGAAATTTTGACCTATGCTTGTCAATTCCCACAATATTGAATAATGGTCATATGTCTCTAACTTCTTTTATAATAAAAATATATAAAATTGAAAAATGCACTATTTCAAATAATGATTAAACAAATGTATTGTAAGAAAATTAAATCATGTGTGTATCAATTCTTTCACACACATCCAACTGTATTATGGAGATATTCAAATTCCTGCATTATTCACATAACAGCGATGCCTCAAACTAATTTCAATTAATTAATTATTATTATTACTATTATTTTTCTCATGAATAAAAAACTTTAGACTGATAGTAAAAAACGTTTTGAGATATTCTTTACTTACCAGACAAAGTTTTCTAATCAATGGGGATCTGGCAACCATAAATTTTGATTCCTAATAGCAGTTTGTTAAATACAGATTTACTGTCACTAATCTGTCTTATTTCACTTAAAAGAGAAAGACAAGACAGACATATCTTTCTGATGCACTTTCAAGGCTGATTCTCTCATCTGAGATATATCTAAATTCTTACATATTCCTCATGCCTCATGTTTGTTATTAGAAACTGAAACAATCCATCCTTTGTACTTTTGATAATTATTCCAAGTTTCATTAAACATACATTTTCCAGGCATTTTGATAGATAAACAACCAACTAAATTAAATTTGAAGAATGAATGAATTTGAAGTAATTTGTTAATGAGTCATTCAAATAAACAACTCATCAATATATCATCCCAGCTTTAAACCACCAGTTATGACTAAGATATTCAGTTCTGTTTTCTGATGGTCAGAAGAGAATAATTTTTATGAAGAAATATTTTCCCATAATTGTTTTTGAGTCAACAATAAAAAAATTAAGCATTTTTAAAGACTTTTTGATGATTTTTGAAAAAATATTTTTAAACACCACAAAAACACTTTTTAAGCCTTTTAAGGATTTGTAAGGACTGAAACCTTGCTCCAGTATAAAAAAATATTAATTGAATATTTAAAATATAATAGATTTATTTTATATATATACAGGGTTCCTACTCAAATTTTTGTTTTAAATTCCATGACTTTCCCTGACCAACTTTGCACTGGATGGCCAAATGGTTAAGGTGGTAGCCTATAGCATGTGGGGGACTCAAAATCAAATTCAGATGGAAATTTGGAATAGAGAATATCCATCATATTAGAGAAAGTTTTAAATTTCCAAAAATCTTGCTACTCATAAATTTCATTAAGATAAATGTTGAATATTCAACATGTACATTAAATCTCATTGATAAACTGAAATTAAAATATTTTATCTAATTTGTTCTTAACAAGTTGTGAAGTATCCTTTTATGAGTCAAAAAACTAATTAACCAAATAATTTAATGAGAGACAAGAAGTTAAAAAAATTAAGAGCAAAAATAAATGATGTTTCTCAATTAAATATTTATCAAAATTTATTTTAAAAATACTTTATTCATTTAAGTAATGTAACATTTATAAATATAATATATATTACATACATGAAACTTAAAATCTTGTTTTAGCATAGCAACTAAATCGTTTGCAACATCTGGCATACATGGATAAAGAATAGCTACAAAACGGGCATAAAATGGAAGTAGATCTAGCCTGAAAAATTATTTTAAAAATTATTATTTTAAGAACAGATTATAATTCATACAGAATATAATTTAATTTACAATTTAAAAGAATATGAATTACAATGAATACTATGAATATTACAAATTTGTAAACAATTAATATAACCCTTTAAAAAGATTATTAAATAACCAAATCAGTTATCAGAATATCATTTCTTACTTCATACAATTTCAAAACAATGTGATTTAATAAAAATTTTTCAACTAAAAATAATTATTTGAAACTAAAGTATAATTGACAGAGTCTTTTATTCATTTATAATAATGTTTCTTTTTTTTTAAACAGAAAGAAAATAAAAGCTTGTCAGATTAAAAATAGTAAATTATGATTATTATTTAAATATTAGAAATAATATTGTAATATAAATTTTATAACCCATTCATTTTGTATTTAAAAAGATTTTTAAATGAATTAAAGTTTCATTAATAGAAAAAACTTTATAGAAATTTCTAATTTTTTTTTTCATATGAATAATTTTCTTCTTGAATCTATGTTACAAATCATATATAGTTATAAAATTCTGTCAAAAAACAAATTAATTCTCAAATTCATTTTTAAATATTTAGTTTATTATGTAAAATTAAAAATTCTTAAAAGTATAAGCTTTCTTTTCATACCATATCATCATAAACAAATTCAGAAAAATATTAAAAAATTAATTCTATTATAGTCATCTAAGACTTATCTTATTAATAGGACATTTACACTGGTGTGATAGTTATTTGCAATAAGTATGAGTTCTTAATCAGAAAAAACAAAAAAACTCTTTATTTTTTCTGATTAAGAACTCATACTTATTGCAAATAATTATCACACCAGTGTAAGCATTCTATTTACAATATTCTATTATACTCAACTAAGACCTAAAACAAGAAATAAGAACATAAAGACAACTAAATTATTAAAAAAAATTAACATTATTAAACAAAAGAATTTTTATATACAAAATAAAGGGGATGAAATGAAAAATACAAACTTTCATTTTCTTTAAGACTTAATGTATTTCTTTAAGAATTTATGTATGTAATTCATTTCAATTTATGTATGTAAATCTTTAATTCAAATAAAAATCTTTTTAACAATTTACAATATCTTTAAGTAAAATTGAGTAACTTTGATATTTAAATTTTTTTATTAAAACTATTTAAATTTATAGTAACTGATTTATGTTAAAACTATAGAAAGATACACAAATAAAGCAAAAAGCAAATCATTCATTGAATCATAATCAAAATTTTATTACAGTATGTTTTATTCTCACTATTTCACTTGCATACTGATTTTGATGTTTATGAATAAAGAGCAAAACTAAAAATTTTTGAAATATAATTTGGTGCATAAAAATAAGTTTCATAAAATGCAAAATATCAGTGCTGTTTTATTTCTAACTTTTGTTTCTCTACACAAAAAATTTTTTAAAAATCATCAATATACATATTACTTAAATATTTTTGAAAAAAAGTTTGTTACAATAGAATTCTACTTAAATAATCAATGAAACTAATCATGACAGGCACAAAAAACAATGTTGCTTATTCCCAGGTTAATATTTAAGAATTTATGTATGTAAAGTCTTAAGTGTTAAAAAGAGTATTGTGCTATATGAGATTTAATTTATTTTAATATTAATTGTACAAATGCTAAAATTATTCTTTTCAATAAAAACTATTAACAATTTGTCTTTTCTGTCAAAAGTATTCAATGATGAACTGAAATAATAACTTTTACTCAACCAATATAAAATACACATATTTATTTACCTTGTCCTTGGTACAAGAAATAATGCTCTTACTAATTTTCTTCGATTTGGTTTTGTATTCAAATTCATACAAAAATCTACAGCTGCCTAAAAAACAACACATACAATAAAATTATATAAACAAGACAACCATAAGAAGTTAACATATACAGTTTTATATTGATAACTTAATTCTCTCTCAAAATCAAAAGTAAATAAATAAAATTGAGAAAATCAAAAATACTAAATATTTTCATGTTTTAATTCAAATACTATATATATATATATGTAATAAAACAATTACCATCAACTCAAAATTAGTAATTGATGAATTGCATTACTTGATTTTTCTTTGTCATAAATAATTGCAGAATACACAAAATTAATTGAAAATGGTGTATGTGTGTATATATACACACACACACACACACAAAAAACCTCAAAGTTTTCTGTTAATTTCCACTTCTGTGTTGTATTTCATAATAATCCTTTATTCATACAACTAATACTGTTTTTGAACAATAATTAATTTAAATAACTTTTAAGTAATAAAAAAATAAAGATAACAATAAAAGAAAATGTTGTAATTTAATGGTTAGAATCTTTTTAAAAAAAATAGGTACATGGCACTTAATCAACTATGTACATGCTGTGATTTTCTATGAGCATTGAGGACATGAACTTGTAGGATCTAAAACATTTTAGATTTTTCTGACAACATACTTGATGTTTCCTTTTCTTTAAGAATCTGCTTCTATTCAAATATTTCATGTCAGTGAGTGAGCCAAGTAAATTAGTGAAGCCAATAAAGCTTTATTATTATATTAAATTATGCATTTCTGTGTTTATCTCTCTTTCTTATATTTAAAACCAAACGAACTACCAAACTAGGCTAGATAGCCATATTACACAGCTATATTATAGCCAGATAATTTGGCAGTTCATTTGGCTTTAACTATAAGTAAGGTTTTTGAGTTGACTTTTCTTATAACTTTGATTATCCAAAAACAATTAATATACATTATTAAAATGTTGCATTTTATTGCTAAATTAAAACAAATTTATCAGAAAAAACAGAAAAATTTCTTATTTACCTGATCTATCATTTCTCTATTGACACAATTTAATAATGTTGCTAAATACCCATCTAACAATAATCGATTAGTTGTACTTGCAACAGAACTTCCTTCCTCTTCAGGTTCTGAAAGAAAAAATAAAATGTATTAATTTTTACATATATTGAAAAATCAATGTCAGTTACAAAATGTTCAAAATTGTTATTTATATTTTTTTCACTTTTATTATTTTTTAAAATCTGGATTATTTAAAGTTTAAACTCTTAAAATTATAAGTATAAAAACTACATAAATACTTATAACTATTTCTATTCATTTTATGCAAAAAATGCATGCATGTTTTTATAGAAAATATTAATTTTACATTTATTTATATCTTCAAATTTGAAAATACTCAATTAAAAAAATTTCTGAATTTGATATTTTAACTTCAGTGAACAAAATTCTGTCTTAGAAAAAAATAATTTGAATAACTTTAAACCACTGAAGATGTTAATATGAAAAAAATCAACTACTTTTATTAATTTAAAATCTAAATTCTGACAAATTGTATATATTGTGCAGGGCTATGAAGCTGCGTAAAAATCTATCGGCTCCAATTCCAACTTTTCCTTACCATCTGACTCCAACTCTGACCAGGGGCAGACTTGTTACTGAAAGAGACCCGGAAATTCTGATGTCATCACATGACCTCAGAATAAAATATTCAATAAATAGAGTTCTAATAAAGATAGAGCGTAGAAACTTTTTATTCTAAAGATAAAAGACTTCTCTAAGTAACAGGCCTATATAAATATGTATTCGATAATTTTTACTTTTCCGGCTGTTATATATAACAGAGGAAACGTGGAGTACTCGGTCAAAAAATTACCCCTCCCAAATTTTTACATTTTTGGACTCAGGACACCTTGAAATTTCGAGATATGCAAAAGATTCGAGGTTTTTTCTATATGTGTGGATGTTAGACTGTGTGAGCCCCTCACACAGTCTAATTTTGATGATGTCACAGTCTAATCATGATTTTGTTCACCCTGTTTGAAGACTAATAATTTCCGTGATCAGAGTGGTCATAATCGGAGTCAGATGATTTAACACAAGAGTAGGTTATTAAGCGTCAAAATAGTTGAACTAAATCATGTCCCCATATACATTCTAACATCTTAGAACATCTTAACAGATTTTACTGTACTATTATAAAATGGCAAAAAAGCTTACTTTGAGAGTAGAGATGAGTTTTATTTTATTTTTTTAAATTTTGAACGCTAATAACAAGTAAAATATTCATTAAGAAATATGACACATGACCACTTTTATGTCTTCACTCTGTCGACTTTTAATTAAGAACTAAAAGTTAATAGTATTAATGCCCCTTTATACGCAAGCTACAGTGCCAATTTTGTTTCATAAACTCTACCCATTCTGAGATATTAAACAATCTCAGAACAGAAAATAAACAAATTAGACACCAACACACACACGCACATGAATTTTTCCCCTTTATTGACATTTTGAGGGGTTCAGGAGGTCTCCAAATGTGTAGATTTGCAAAAAAAAAAAAAACTTGGAGGATCAAATTTGACACAATTCCAATACTTTTCTGTTTTAAATACATAAGTTGGTAAGTAAAAAGGAGTCAGAGTCGGCGGATTTTTTGACAATTCCGACTACGGCTAAAACACCAAAACTCCAACCACAACTTGGACTCCACAGCCCTGATATTGTGGTCTGGTTAAATTAATTAATAACTAAATTTTTAGAACCATCCGTAATCAGTATCATTATTTTTCAATGAAAAATACATGCAGCCATCACATATCTAAGTACAGTAATACCTCGACTTACGCGAACCAGGAGTTATGCAATTTTCAAATTAAATCGATTCCTCTTTTGTTTGAGCGCCACGCAACTCTCGATTACTCACTCCCCTCACACTATTGTTCAGCTTACATGTTCGGACGTGTTGCGCGAAATCGACACATATCTACAATTTATTTTGTGTTATTTATTTTTGTGTCTGTTATATCTACGGAGACTCGAGAGACTCTTTGTGGTGATTTCTTGTAACCGTGAACGAATCAAAAGACGAGATAAGATTAACAAGAACATTTATTAGCTTACATACATCCGACTTGGATTTTACACAAATTGCGAAATTATACCCCGACTTACGCGGTTATCGCTCGGTTCCCCTATCACGTAAGTTCGGGGTATCACTGTAATTCATTAACTGCAATGATGTAAAAATTAATTTTAAAAAACTTGTCTCATTAAGTACAAATAAGCTTGAACTAACATACAATAAATGAAATATTGGAATTAAAAACTACTTATTAAATTAGTTTTTATAGAGTTGTTTAGCAGGAATTATATTTTATACCAAACTCCTGAGTTTGGTATAAAATCAGAGCCAAAAATGATATAAAACAATAAATAAATATACAATATAAAAAATAATAACTGTTTACAATTAATATGCTAAAACAAAGATATATGTAATAAGATATATCTAATTATTAAATACTATATATACCATAATGGAATGTGTTTGATAATAAGCTAGATATTGGAAAGTTTACAGTTTATGATTAAATAAATTCTAAATTTTTATAATGGCATAGAATATTTTATTTAGGATTATTCCAATTTAATGACTATAATGAATGCATTTGGTTTTCAGAAGTTAGATATATACTCTAAACAAATGTTTCTAAAGTAATTTAATTAATTTATTTAAAATTATTAATAGATTGTTTTTGAAATAAATGGAATTACTAACTTTTCTATTTATTCATCTCCTCCTTATTCAAATTTGGCTATAAAACAAAGAATTTAGACTCTAGTTTAAGAAAAATTATGTAAGAATTTAAAATATGAGAATTTTTCAATAATAATATTGTGCATGTTAATGAATATTTAATTATTATAGCAGTATAATAATTTTAAACAGATAGTGAAATGTATTAATTTATTAGAATATTGGACTTTTCAAGATGATCTTTGTAGATTAATATACCATAAAATAGGTAGAGTTGGACAATTTTTATTTATTTGTTGTTATAAAATTTATCTTATTTAACCTGTTCCATGGTCTTCCCGAAATATCTCAGGTTGAAACATAATGATCACGACCAGTGGACACAACATATCTTGTTTCTGCATCAGAACATTTTTGACACTAGATATTGCTAGTCGTTATAATTTTTATATTAAAACTAACTTCCGAAACATAATTATTTTTGTTTTTACATTTTTTAATGTCTATTTTGTTTGTGCGAAATAAAAAAAATAATTTTGGACAATACAATAGCCACAATTATTTTTTCCTAAAATATGTAATTTTCATTAGGCTTAACATCAACAAAAATTCAACGTGAAGCAGCATGCATTGGAGAAAAATTTCAATGTGGAATAGGTTAAAAGTCATTCAATCATCTTAACTAAGTTATTGTTAACAATTCTCATAATATTTTATCTTCAAGCTGTATTCAAAATAATTTTATTTTGAAAATTTTGTGATATAGAAGGAAAGAATATCATTAATTTTGAAACAGTTTATATAAATTAAGTTAACCAAATAATAATGACAATCTAATAGCATTTTAAAAAATGTAAAGAAAAGATATACCTTCCATTTCATGCATTAATGCTTCTGTAAGATCACTTTCATCTGGTTTTGCTGGAATTTCTATCTTTTCTTCCAACTTCTCTTCTTCTGTTTCTAATAATTCAACCTCTTCTATTTCCAGTTTAGCAATATCTATCAGTTTACCAAACTTTAAGTTACAAATTTGCACTTCAAGAAATATTGCTTTAAAAACTTTTAAGAATTTAGAAATTATTTAGATCATAATTTAAATTATACAACAAACTATAAAATGAGGACAACTCCATCATTAAAACATATTCATACTGATAAAATATTGAAACTACTAAATTATTATTTTATAAAAACAACTGTTGTTTTTAATAATAAAATTATCTGTTTTGAATAACTTTTCTATATTTGTGTGATAATACTTTTTAAACATTTTATATTGTCATCAGCAATCCTGTTCTATATATTTTCTAATATGAAAGTAATATTTCTAACAGTGATTAATTAAAAGTATTAACAAAAAATATTTATTAATACATTATAATTTGGAATCCAACACTACTACATGCAGAAATCTTATAAAAAATGTACAGAATAATATTCACTATATTGCTGACTTGGTGTGAAAAACAAATAGAGAAATGAAATTTTTCTGTTGTTTCAAAATGTTGTAAATTTCCAAGTTGTGAGTGAGAGTAGTCATGACACTTTTTTTTTTTTAAAATGTTTATAATGCAAATGAGTAATTATTTATTGTAACTTCATCACAATTCCAGGCTGTAACTTTTAATCATTTTTTATGTATTTAATTTAAAATATGTGCTCTCCACCTTCAAATTAGTAGTGGCTTTCCCCTGTGCATTACTTTTCCTTTAACAACAGAGCTGTGCAAGTCATCTATCTAACATCTTACAAGGAAAATTTTTGAATTGAAATAACATGGCTTCTGGCTTGCATCATAGTTAATCATGGCCTCCTCTCCTAAGGTTGCCATATCTGGTCTCGTCTTTCATCTATCTAACTCCATTTTCAAGATTAAGGAAAGACAGATGGCTGGACGAGAATGGGAACTTACAGTCTACAATTTTTTCAAATCACAGCCAAACAATTAGAAAATATTGTACCTAAAATTTCTAATACTAATAAATGCAATTTTTTTCATGTGTTTATGACAAAAATTTGATTTTTGACAAATTTTAAAAATAATGTTTGTAAAGTGACCTTGTAAATGTTTGAATGACCTGTATTTGCTTTACAATATATAAAAATCAGCACTTAGAATGAATGGGTTAATAGTTCTTAAGTGTTAAAATAATTGAATATGAAATTTAGATGTATATCTGGAAGGAATAAAAAATGCAAAAGAAAAGATGGCATTTTCTATATAAGAAAAAATTAATAATAATTATCTGAATAAGTTTAATAGTTTTAGTTCTTACTATAAGGAAAAAATAATGTTCATTATTTAAAAATACTTAAATTTAAAACAAAGTATAATATTATATCTAACCTTCTTCTATGTTGTTTTCATTTTGTATATCACTTTGTTGGTTTTGAATTGTCTGAGCACTATCTTTGAAAAGGATCTGAAAAATTAACACAGGTAAAAAGTTACTAAATTCTAATAAAATATCAGAATATCAAATTTTTTAAATGATAAATATTTAACAAGAAAAATATTCATATCAACCTACCAATCTTAGTTTTTAATAACTAATTTTTCTTTCTAAGATATTTTGTTTAAAAAACATTAAGTTTAATTTTATCTGCCAGAATTAAACTAAATACTATATGCAAATACAAGCTATAATCACGGAATCAAAAGAAATTAATTTAAAAGATTATAACAACATTAGTTAAAGTTAAGAAATTAATTTTAAGAATTAATCTAGAAAATATTATTTGTTATTTTGATAAGAAACGTTTTATACTTGTTTAATATCTCTTTTATATTTAAAAACACTAGTGAAAGATTTCTTTTCCACAAAGGAATAAAAATTTTATTTTCTTACACCAGGAATAAATGCTTTTAAATCAGGTAGGTTTTCATAAAAGCTTCTTGTATCTTCATCTATAATTCATACAGAATATAATTTAATTTACAATTTAAAAGAATATGAATTACAATGAATACTATGAATATTACAAATTTGTAAACAATTAATATAACCCTTTAAAAAGATTATTAAATAACCAAATCAGTTATCAGAATATCNTGAGGTATAGGGTTAGGTTCTACATAAGTGAAAAATAAGCAAATAATTTTGTTTATTAATACAATATAATACAAAATACATATAAATTTAATTTTTAAAATGTATTTTATCATAAAATAAAATGAAATGTTTTTATTAAAAAATTTTAGTTTTGAATTTCTTACATGTTTCGGAAAAAAGGATCCATCTTTAATTGCTTACATTTTTGTTTTCTTTCATTGAGAATTTCGGAATATGTTGGAATATGATGCTCCTTTTTACATTTGCACTTTGCTCCCAATCATTGTCTATCTCACAAAGTTCATCTGTCAAACTTTCCATAGTTGAAAAAACATGTTAACCCTACATAGAGCTACAGACGAGCGGAGACACTGATTGGTTGACCACCGGTCATTGTAGCACATATATAAGGTCAGTTTTAGCAGGAAAATTGAAGGTGGCTAAGGAGAGATAGATACATATCGTCTGGCTAATAAAAAAGTATCGTCTGGCCAACGAGAAGTAGATTTGTCTTACTAACAATACTTTGTGATTGCCCAAAGTGCTACTGCGTCATAATGTGTTTGTTTTCCTGAATGAACTGATACGGGATACATTCATTGGCACTATGGATTCGGACGCCATTTATTGGACTATTAAGTTTAATAACTTGACTCGTGGATATCTAAACGTTTAGTATTTTAATATTAATTTAATGCAAATGTATACATACCCAATAATATTAAACAGAAAAAATAAATATATTCAATAGAAATCTTTGTTTTAATGAATATACAATGTCATGGCTCGGTAAATACGTCAACACTGAAATGAAATAGGGAAAATTGGGGAATTACACCACGAAACGGCAAATTGCGCAGTGGCGTTATAGTGAATCGGCATAAATTGAGCCAGCATAAACCAAGGGCTACCTGTATATAATATATATAAATGTAAAATTTTATTTTATTGCATTATGTATACTACAGTTTATTTTTTCCAGAAATAATTATTTTTTGTACTTATTATTATTTGTGACTACTTACATCAAAATGTGAAATATCCTATCCGAGCAGAGGTTGCACTAAATTAAGGAAATTTTTAGCCTAATTCTCCATTGCAATTGTTAAGAAAGCATCGCACAGAAAATTAATTGAATATCACCCTTTTTATCAACAACTGTTAGAGAATTATAACAATCGAGTGCTAAATGATGATAACCTATTTTTAAAAGAGGAGAACAAGTAAAACAGAATGAATCTTACAAGTCTCGAACCAAATATGATAATAGCAGCTCCACTTGACATCCTAACATCACTTACGACTCACCTATGACCCAACACCTGCAAAATCAACCTTCGTCTCCAACAATAATTGATCACCTGATGAGTTTTCCCAGGACTAGAGAGTATAAAAGGGGCTAGAACTTAAGTCCCAGGTGAACATCCCCAGAGACATATAGAGTGGATATCTCCAGCCCAAAGCTCCAGCTTCCCCATATTTTGGAGTGAACATCCCCATAAAAGAATTTGCCTGTCTCGCAAAACGATCTACATAGAAACCTCCACCGAAATAGAGAGCTGCATCTCTCCCTGAGATATTTAGTGTCTTGTTAAACATTTTTTAAACCCTCTCTCTCTCTCCATGTAAATCAAATGGAAACGACTTCCCGAGAACCTCGCAAGTGACATGCTGATGCGAGCAGCTTTGCTGTGTAATTTGTAGTGTTTGTAATATAGTTTATAGTTAGATTAAACTTTTGTTGTGTTTGTAAGCTGTCTACCTGTCTGAATCAAATTTTGGACCCCTATCGACTTACTCATCACGCTTCCCACTCAACTGTTAAATCAACCTCCTACTCCACATTCATTTACGATTTGAGAGTTAGGACGTGATCTTTGAACTATCCCAACTGGTGTCAGATTCCTGATGTTAGTAGATTCTTGCCGTCCCACTGACACTTTATTGATAAGCCATCTGGTGACAATGAGAGCGGGTTTAACCAACCCATTGCCGACTAAGCAGTCTAAAGGCCCTTTGCCCCCAGTATCTCACAAAAATATACTATGATTGAATGAATGAATAAATAAATAAATGAATTTTACATTAAAACTCACCTCACCATCTTTGAAACGATTATGTACATCCAAATTTGTAATTTCAGCATCAGGATAGGCAAGTTCTAAATTTAAAATATATTACATCAATAAATTTAAGTTCAAAACAGTTACATTTTTAAAATGCAAAGTGATTTTATAATTCTGTTACATATTCAGTTATATACAACTTAAGTCATGGTCACATCTTGAAACTTCCAGCTGCGCAGGCAACTGCAACCATGACAGCTGTTTCTGTTAACTAGTAAACCCCCTTCGAAAACGGGTGCGACTGCAACCGCAACTAGAAACAAAAAGTTTGTTCTACTCGCAATGATTGCAATGCGCATCCAATCAACAAACACCTTTGTGCCATGTCATACGGTGACAACATTGAAAATAGTTCATCATGGCGGAAAGTTAGAGGATTAATACTTTTACAGAATCGAGATTGATCGAGCTTATTTAGGCTCACGAATACCTGTGGGATTTTAATTCTTCATTTTAGCAAAGATTTTATCTTTTCATGTATTCTCGCCAGCTCTATCAAAATAATCGCCCTTTTTCTTTTATTCATTCCAGAAAAGGAACTGCTTACTATTTTAATAAGTGGCTAAAATTCCATAAATACTCTGAAATAGAATGTAAAATGTCAGAAAACTCACGAAAGTACTCAAAAACAAGCTACTGTAATTTTATTGGTTTATTATATGGTCACGTGTTTCTGAGTTGCAACATCAATGAACAATGTGTGACCACGAGAAAACGCGCACGACTCACACTTGTTGCAGTTGCCTGCATGGCTAGAAATCGCATAGTGTGACCAGGGCTTTACATTACTTTATGATACTTCATTTTATATGAAGACTTTCATAACAATGAATTTTCTAATATAATTATGAGTGTCTTATTTAAGTATCTTTTTCTGGTTAGCTATCTGTATTGTATCTGAGATGTAATATGAATTTATGATGCTAAACTTATAATTGATTAATGACAGTTCCCAAGAATAAGTTAGGTTATAAAAACAGTGATCATGTGTTGTGCATAATAGCTAAACAGATTTTGATAAAAAACAAATATCACATAAATTTAAGTCTTAAAATTCAGTGCTTCCCAAAGTGGATGTTTTGACATAATATACCCACAAATAGCTTGAGAAATATTGTAATGTTTTGGCTGATTGTAAGAAAATTTGAAAGGTTAATATAAAAATCTGAATTTAACATAGCAAATTCATACTAATGTTTCATAAGAATTTTTGTTTCCTTTATGCCAATATTAGTCTTAATGAACAAAAATATACTGAAATTGAACTACAATCCTAATTTTTAAAACATGGGAAGTGGTTATCAAAAATTCTTTATATATTAATAGTATAATTCACAGATTTACTATATTTACAAATTATACTACTTTACTGAATTTATAAAATAATAAACTATTATTTTATAATAGTAGAAATATAATAAATTTCCTAGTATTACTATTATACTGAATTTTAATCAAAGTACATTAAAACTATTCAATTTATAAGCTATTTTGGCAACAATATTTTTATTTTGGTTTTAAAATCACAATAATTACAATTAATCTAATTATTTAAGCAAAATTTTTTTCTACATAACTTTCTTAGAGTTATAAAAATTTATACTAGTAAATGATTTTCTTTTTTAATTTACTATCTTGATAAATTTTCTAAAAAAAATAAACCTTATTTTAAATGAACTTTGGATATAACAAACAAAAAATGTGTCATATAAGAAAAATTAAAAACCTTTTTTGTTCACAAATAAAGCATACTAAAGGGTTGGAACTATGAGTCAATGAGTATATATTATCCAATGTATAGAACATGTTATATTATATTATTATTTTATTCATTCTTAATAGAGTGATTCACTTTGAACTGAATATTTACTTTATTCAATACCTCATGACTGCAGAGTCACATTTAAATAACATATAATATAAAAAAAAATCTATAAATGAATTGCACGACTTTCCTGGTGTTTATGAGATTTTATTTTAAAAATAACATTTGTATTGTTAATCAAAATAAATAAAATTGAACATTGTTATCTATTATAAGATTTTGTTATAAAACATATATTTTTAATTATTATAAAATGGTAAAAGACTTAATTTTGAGGGTAGAGATGAGTTTTACAGGGTGTCAAATAAGTCACTAACAACTTTGATTGAGAATAAAAAAATCAGGGATTTGTTGCATTGACATGAAACATGGTGAAAATACTATTGAGAACAAAGGTAATTAGTAGATGAGGTTTTCAAAGTGTTCTCCTTTACGGGCAATACATGACCGTTTGATGCTCGAAACCAGTGACCATATTCACCAGAACTTCATCAGGAATGGCTCAAATCTCTGCTTTGATAAGAGATTTGAGCTTGGCAATAGGGTTTCAATAAATCCTATCCTTGAGACAGCTCCAGAGGAAAAATCCATGGAACTGAGGTCTGGGGAATAAGGTGGCCATGAAATTCCTCCTCTGCTACTCTCTGGGAACCCTTTAGCAATCACTCAATCCAAAATGTGATTGTAAGGTGTTGAAGGCATCTTCAGTTCGATAAGGAGGAGCTCCATCTTGCAGTGGGGTTTTCATCACATTTGTACCAATGTTTAACCAAAAAAATGCATTCCTCCGCTGAATATTTGCTCATTTTAAAATTTTTTAACAATTGGCACATCAGCACTAAACAATTACCTTTGTTTGCAAGATGGCGACTATGAGATATCAGTGCCCTCAAACGAGTAGTTAAAAAGTTATCCTCAATCAAAGTTGTTAGTGACTTATTTGACATCCTGTATAAAACACCATAAATGCTAACAATAAGTAAACTTTTCATTAATTCTAACCCATGAGATATGACATGTGACCACACTATCTCTCCATCCCCTTGACCTTTCACAACCAAAATTTAATAGCTTGATCAATGCCTCTCATATATAAGCTACTGTGCCAAATTTCATTTCTTCACCCAATCCTGAGATATTAAACAAAACATATACACATACGCAAATTTTTTTTTTGCCTTTTTGGATTCAGGAGGTCTCAAAACAGAAATTTGCAAAAAACTCAGAGGGTCAAATTTGACAATTCCAATACTTTTCCTTGTTATGTATATACAATAGCTGGAAAAGTAGTAACATACCTTGATCTACTGCTTCTTCATGAAATAAAGAATCATTCCATTTGTGTTTCATTCTCATATTTTTATTTTAAATAGAGATATTCCACATAATAAGTATTCATTCTTGAGTACTGTACATTATAACATTTTAAGTTTGTTATTGATATATGTTTTTAAGACACACTCGATTTAACACACTTTCAGTAATAGTGGACACTCCTTTCCCCAATTAGTCCATTAAATCTGGATTTACTGTATAAACATAATTTTCTCATATGTCAATTATTTCATATTTTGATTTTAAAAATCAATTTTTTGAATTTTTAAGTATAAAAAAAATAAAGTACTGATTGTTATTATTAGAACACCTTTCAATCATCAATTCAAATCTGAAATTTTAACTATTTCAATGAACCTTTTGTAAAATACACAACATCCTTAATTTTTTTTTTTGAGATTTCTACAACTCTTCAAGGATCTAGACAGTAACTGAATTTCTGCAGAAAACAAAAAGATTTCTCCAAAAATTAGATTTTCTTTAGTCCATATTCATAGAGTCCACATATAGATGCATCTTACAGGGAATAAGAAAATCGCTCTGTGTATTACAATACATCAAAATGCAACTTCATATATTCTTGTGCACAAAAGAAAAGGACATGTCCAGGTGTAGTTCCTCTCTTCTCTGCAAATGGAACAGCAAAAGCAGAAGGTTTTGCTATTCCACTGAAGCAGAGGTTTCCATAGTTTCTCAACAAAAATGAAAACAAACATAATCAGACCACCAATATTCAGAAATGAGCTAAACCTTTGGGATTTACTTCAAGAAAAGCAAACAATTACCAGCTAGAGCAACAGGATCAGAATGCAAATATTTTACACATCCCTAGCTAGGCCTAAGCTGATTTAATGTGCTACAAAGTAACTTATATGTTGTTAGTCTATTTTTTGTTAGATGCTAGAGAAAATGTTCCTTGAAGTTCAGTCCAAAAGCTAGACAACAAATTATTGAAAATTTGATCATAGCATCTACCAAAGATGAGAATAATGTTTATTTGCAGGATCTCTTAGAAGTTGTAATGATTAGACAACATCATCCAGGTGAAAATCATAAACCAAGATCTTGTAATTTTCATTTCATCATGAATTGCTGTACAATGACTGAGGTATGCCTTGCAGTGTTCTTGAACCTTCATGCAGTACAAAAAAATAAGTGGAAAGGTTTAAAATGTGACTTCTGACTGGTTACAGTCCAAAGGATTTGTGTAACAGACAGACAAGGACTCAACAGGATCAAGGAGCAAGTATTAGAAAAACTTCATGTACTCATGCAACTATCCTGTTTTAAGAATTGGAAGCAGGCTACATAAAATATTTGACAGCTAATTGCACATAATCAACATCCATGGGCAATCTGTGTATGACTGTCACTTTCCAAAGTGAGTTTGTATTTTTTTCCTACAACTTTTTCAAAGAAAACTATGGATTTCAATTTGGGCAACCTCAAGTTGATGCCTACATCTATAAAAAATTTCAAGTGTCCCTGAAGTATGCAAACATTGAACAGAGAGAGAGAAGGAAAAAACAAGCAAGCACACTCCATAAGAGCTAAAAAATTTTACAAGTATAGGAACATAACCCAAAAATGTCAAGATTGTTCTGAAAATATGCCATCATCTTTCAATATAAGCAAAACTATCCACTTCCAAGTATTCCATGGCCAGAAGTCTTCTATTTGCATCAGTTAAGGGTGTATATTTTTTGACATACATGATTTAAAGATTCATATCACCTGCTATGTGGCACAAAAAGGGCAATGTCAAAAGAAAGTTTCCTAATGAGATATGCTCATTTTTACTGCACTAAATAACTGACAAGTTTCCACAAAATGTCAAAAAAATTAATTTTTTCTGTGATGGATGTCCTGGAAAAAACAAAAAACAACACTGTAATTTGCTTCCTCTTAATTCTTGTTGGACAGATTCCAGAAAATCTCTATTTCCCTGTTTGTGGACATATTTTCTTATTACATAAACAAAATTTTGAGACTATACAAGCAATTGAAATAGCATGACAGCATTTACGGGGACTATTTTTTAAGTAAGGTCCATTTGTGAATGAGTGAGAATGACGTGATAGCAGCAGTGCATGTGTGTCTGCTCCGAGCTCGCTTTGCGCGCGTTTAGACACCATTTGCAGCCGTATCGGCTGTCTGTGTGCTGAGCTGTAAAAGTTTATAGTGTTTAAGAAAATTGAGCCACCTGCCGATTGTGAGATACAATCTGTTATTCGATTCTTGAGTGCAAGAAACTTGACAACAGCGGAAATTCACCGTCAGACTTGTGAAGTTTACAGTGATAATGCTATGAGTGGTAGCAAAGTTTGAAAGTGGGTGAGAATGTTCAAGGACCGGCAGGTTAATCTGCATGATGAGCCATGCCCTGGCCAACCTTCTCTGATTTCTGAAGATTTGGTTTGTGATGTGGATAACAAAATTCAAGAGGACCAATGATTCACAATTTCAATGTTTTCAATTGAATTTCCACAGGTTTCAAGATCAGTTTTGTATACTATTGTTTCGGAGAAACTGAATTATCAAAAATTGTGTTCTCGGTGGGTTCCAAGACTGCTTTCTGACAATCACAAAACAAAAAGATTGGACAGTGCTTTATCGTTTTGACTCGATACGATCAGGAAGGAGATGAATTGTTGGACCACATCGTTACAGGAGATGAGACTTGGGTGTCTCACATGACTCCTGAGTCCAAGCGACAGTCAATGGAATGGCGACACACATCTTCGCCAACCAAAGTGAAAGCCAAACAGTCCATTTCAGCACAGAAAATTATGGCAACTGTCTTTTGGGACAGGATAGGGATTTTGTTAGTGGATTTTATGTTGAGAAGCACAATAATCAATTCTGATGCATATTGTATGTTCTTGCGAAAATTCCGGCATGCCATACAAAATAAATGGCGTGGTCTACTGTCTTCTGGTGTGATGTTGCTCCATGACAATGCAAGGCCACATGTTTCTGCACAAACACAAGGTTTAATCAGTTCTTTTGAATGGGAACAACTGGAATCACCCACCTTACAGTCTAGACCTTGCACCCAATGATTTTCATTTGTTTCGATACTTAAAGGAGTTCCTTGGTGGTCAATGCTTCAACAACGATGAAGAAGTGAAAACTGCAGTCATGGATTGAGCTTTTTCACAGGTGGCAGATTTCTTTGAAGTTGGAATTCAAAAAATTGTTGAGCGGTATGACAAATGTTTGAACAAAACTGGAAATTATGTAGAAAAGTAGATAGAAGTATGTAGAATATGGGAAAAAAATATATTTTAGTGATATTTACAGTATTTTTATTCTTATTAAAAAATGGACCTTATTTAAAAAATAGCCTTCATGTGTTTCAATAGATTATGTTGAGATTATTGTGTCTATAATGTAGCTTGCTATTACATGAAGATTGTGTCTAAGAACATTTCATCAGCTTCTCAAGAAAATGTAGGCCTACCACAGCCAGTGTTGACTTTCAATATATTTGTTTTTTTTGAATAAGTTAAATGAACTTGGCATTGTGGAAGTACATCCTGTTATTAATGGTTTTAACTCTTTACAATATAACCTTAAGGAATTAATAGCAACCTTTCCTATATCATTCCCAAGGAAACATAGCACACACAACCTGTGACAATAATAAAGCAAAAGTAAATGACATTCAGAAATTGCTGCAATATGTTCCCCAGGAATATAATGATTTTTATAATACCATAACAAGTTGGCCAACTGTAAGCAAATTTGTAGAGGAAGCTAGGTAATATTTCAAGGAAGGTGCATGCAGTAAATAAGCAGTATCTTGTTTTGCAGCAGGCTAAGTTTATATAAATAACAGCATCTTACAGTAGTGATGCTGTCTCATTCTTTCTAGATATAAAATAATTAGTGATACATTGCTGAGAGTAAAAATGAAGTTTTGAATATTTTTGCAACAATTTTCTGTCAATGAAAGAGGTTTTTAGTATTAGATAAATATGTATCTACAAATTTTACATATTGAGAAAGATTATTTCTTTATGAAATTCTGTTTGAATGATTGTTTATTTTATTAAATCTCAATTTATACTACAGTAGAGCATCGATTATCCGACTCAATTGGGGACTGGGGTTGGTTGAATAACTGAAAAAAACGGATAACCGAAAAATATGATAAAATACATTATTAGTAAAGTATATTAGTATATCTCATGTAATTAGTATATAGCTATTAACCTACTTCACGTTGAATTTTCATCAATGTTAAGCCTAACAAAAATTTTTTAAAAATAATAATCATCACTATTGTATCATTAAAAATTAGAAAATTAAGCCTCGTTTAAATACTGGCTCCCTTTCATGGTCGAGCCATGTTGCCAGCTAAAACACGTAAAAATACTATTAAAGTAGCCAAGACATAGCCAAATATTGTAGTGCCACATCACTAGCAAACATTTGAATTTGCTGACTAGAACGGTCAGTTAACCGATGTGACGGTTAATTGGGGGTCGGATAATCGATGCTCTACTGTATTTCCCCCAAAGACTATAACTAAGGGAAGCAATGGAAATTGAAATATTAATATAGTTTAATTAAACATGGTCTCTAAAGAAATATAACAACAATATTCATACCATCTTTTGGAAGTTCAGGTAAATCTTCATCTACAATATCCTGAAAAAATTTTAATGAAAGTATTATTTATTTACTGAATAAATTTTAGATAACATTTTTATTCATAATCAAACTTATTAATAATGCAGAAATTCACAATCTTCTTAAAAAATTTTATAGTACATATTAAGGATTTAACTGATCAAACAATCATCATAAGCTAGATAAACAATATCGAAAATAAATCTGGATAATATTGATAAAGTTAATTTTCACTAATAATTCAATCCATATATAAAGTAATAGTAGATTACGCAGTAATTTAAAACTGTTATTTAAAATTTTACATTATAATTAATTTAAAACCTTAAAAATTACATACTGCAAACTGTTGAGTATTTGATAACAATTTCTGAAAAGCTATTTGAGATGCTTCATATTTTTCTTTTCTTTCCATATTAAGTTCACCTTTTGTCTAAAAAGAATATATATTTAAAATTATTAAATAAATAATTATTTATCTATGAAAATTAATTTCAATATTAGTTAAACTAAATAAATTAATCTAATTTATTCATTATCTGAATACTTACTTCAAAATTGCATATTTTTAAATAAAGACTATCAAAATTAAAAACTTTATTTTAACTAGTTATATTACTAATTTTTATAAATATTTATTCACATGAAATAAATTCAATTGAATTTATTTCATGAAATGATTTATTATTTCACATGAAATAAATTCAATTGAATTTATTTCATGTGAATAAAAATCAAATTGAATTTTATGAAAACATCATTGCATCAAATATGCTATATTTTAAATTTTCATATAAAACTGTAGTTTTAGATAATTCTTTTAAAATCAATTAATACATTTATGCCTATCTTTACTTTAAATTTTAATGACAATCATATTTAGTTACATTTCCAATGATCTAAAACTTTTCAGTTTCTTAGAATTTTAAATCTGAAATAATATATAACCACCATAAAGCCAAAAAATTTGTCAGTGTGGCTTGTTTTATATTAAAAAATGGTGGGATATCTTCACCATATTACTGTAATCCATTATAGAAGTAGACCAGGCACATCCTACAAAGGCTCACTTGCTGGACATTAAGATTGAGAGCGCAACCATCCACACAGCTGTTTATTGCAAACCAACCTCAGCTGGTTTATACATACCAGCAGAGTCATGTGACCCTCCGCAATACAAAATCGCAGCATTCAAAGCCTTGATCAGGAGGGCTCATACACACTCCTCGTCCCAAATGGCACTCTGGTCCGAAATGAAACGAATAGAAGATATAGCCAAGCAGCACAAATACCATGGGCTCATAAATAAACTAAACGCAAAAATGCAGCAGGAACCGTCATCAACTCCCCAACGTTACTCCTAGTAACAACATCCCTATCACATATAATCCGGTACTAAAATCCATATACAAGGAGATAGCTAAGAAAAAGAATATCCATATTACATTTAGAAGATGCGCTATGATTTTTGATTTGTTAAGGAACGGGAAAGACACCCCGAAATAAGCTCCACAGCATCTACACCATTCCTATCATTGATTGCAGGTGTGATAGAAACTTGATCTACATAGGATCAACTAAACGCCCCCTAGTAACCCGGATCAAAGAGCATGAAGCGGATATCAACCATGAAAGAACCAACACAGCTCTTGCCATATACTCGGCGGACCCTGACATAGAACTCACATTCTCTCAAGCAAAGGTCATTCACACCACCCACTGCATGAACCAACTCAGATGGCTGCAGGCGATCTATGTATGCCTAAACACAAGCGAAGGACGTAATTGCATTAACTACAAAGATGAAATCGCTCTATCGACGGCCTGGCAGGCCCTAATAGATAAATCTCTAAGATAGAGCACACCATACAGAAACATGCAAGTCTGTAGTGATGACATCGGGTCGGGACATCGTTCCAGATCGTATTTCATAACAATTTTGAACCACATTCTGTAGGGGATCGTTACCTGAAGAAGAACCATAATGGTTTGAAAACATTTGTAACTGATGTAGAGTGTGATGATATGTGCACAGGTAAAAGGTTTATAGATACGAGTTGGATTGTTTTATATTATTTGCATAATTTAATAAATATGTTTAATATATATTACAAAATAGATGACAAAAAAACATTTTTATTCATAATCAAAATTATTAATAATGCAGAAATTTACAATCTTTAAAAATTTTATAGTACATGTTAAGGATTTAACTGATCAAACAATCATAAGCTAGCTAATTCCATACATAAAGAATATTAATACTGTTTTCTATTTTTTTTTTTTTAAATTATACAAAATACAAATTAAAAAGTAACTATTGTTATAATAAAAATAATAAATATATTATTATAAATGAAATTATCATAAATTATTTAGATACAATTATTTAAAAATTAAATTCCATTTGATATACTTACAAATTCTAATATTGTAAACATAATCAATATTTTACTTCACATAAAAGATATAATCCACAAATTTAACATTTCATAAATTATTATATACTGTATTGGTCTGAATTGGCTATACTGGTTGATGTATTTTTCCAGTTTTAAGAGAGCAAAAATTGGCTCTCAACCTATATTACTGTCTGATTAAAGTTTTCTCCAATTTTGATAACTTACTGTATTACAGAGTTAAACTAATACTAAAATTTGGTGCATTGATTGTTCAATATTAAATGCTAGCCAAGTTACAACCTGTCAAATTCTGCAGCCTGCAAACTATGCACAGAAATTACATCTAAGTGTTCAGCATAATTGTAAACAATCATCTAAACCAAACCAGTTGTTTTTATCATCTATATATATATATACATATATAAATGGACGTGTGTGTCCCTATATTTCACTTTTCAGCCAAAACTACACATCGCACATGAATGGTGTTTGTATGTGGTAGTAGCCCCAAGTCTCCATTCGTGCACTATTGTGGTTGCGTCTCGATAGCTATAAGGGTACAGGAGATATGGGCTTGAAAGTGGTTGAAAGTGGAAGATTTTCTATTTCAATTTTAAAAATTTTCGAATTCGAATTGGTTCGATTATAGAACGATTGTAAACGTTCCAGAAAATTGATCAAATTGAAAATAGTTCGT